AATTAAGTCCCATTGCATATCAGAAGCTCTCTGGGACCCCAAATTCCAGCTAGACTAATTAGTTCCTCCAACAAGATTCATTCACCAAGCATTTATTCTGTGACTACCATCCCCAAAGCAGGAGTCAGGAAGCATAGAAGCAGCTCCAAGAAGATAGGAAGATGAAGGAGGTGTCCCAAAGCCCAGGGCAATGGCTAGCACTGGTCTGTGGACTGACTGAATCTTGAAGAACAGACAAACCTTCATCAGACAAGATGGAGTGAGGCACATGTGATCAACACAAAGCCTGACCAGGCTTCCAGACAGAGCTCACAAGAGAGTATTTGGTGGCACAGAGGCATAGCTCCATAAGAAGATCTGCATATCTGAAAAACTATCTTCTCCCACCCACCCCTATCAACTCTCCATCAATTGTTCTGCTTGCATTAGGGAGAAAGTCCATAGTACCATGCACTTTAATGCTCTCCAGACTTGGTAATTTCCCTAATACTTAGGGAGAGCAGGCACTCTGCAGAGCCTGGCACACAGTGCAATCAAGCAAGAATTCAATGACAGTTATGTCTTCAACTATGTTTACTTTTACAGTTACTTTATGTTTGGGGTATGTGATAATTGGTTTTCTGTTTACAGAAGAGTACAACATTTTTGTTTTGTTTTATTAGACTAAAAGGCTAAAAGTCACCATATTTTAAAGAGAAAACATGAAATAAAATATGGTAGGAGGTGCACGCTAAAGAGAAAAACAATGAAAAAATCATGCAGGCACTACATGATTTTACTTGGACATGACAAGAACAAGGACTTTGCTCATTGAAAAGCCAGAGACACTACAGACGGTCTCAAGAACCAAGTCAGGGAAACATGAAAGGGAGGTTCTAGGAGGAAAGGAGGAAGCTCATGATAAGACACAAGGCACATGTGGTAAGGTGGTAGACGATGAGGCTAGAAAGGTAAACTGAGGCCAAGTCATGGAGTGCCTTAAAGCTGACAGGAGGCATCTGGGCTGTGACTATGGGGGTCCACCAGAGGTCTCTTATCTACTTGACTAGGAGAAGTGGGCCTATTCCCAAAGCTAGGCCAGTTTTGGGAAGCAGGGTATGTAAGTGTAATGTGTGGGATACAGGAAGAGGCCAAGGAAGCAGCTGAAACTGCCCCAGCACTGAAGGCCACAGTCAAGGCTCCGGAAGGAGGATATGGCTTATCACAAAGCTCTCTACTTCCTGTAGGCCCCCAGGATGGAGAACTGAACTAAGCATGGTACTACACAGCTAGCTTGGGAAGAGATCTTAGTCCAAGTGGGCTTCTCCAGTAGATAGAACTTATCATCATATACAGAGTGAAAATTTCTGGGGAAAGAAGAAAAAAATAATCAGAATAGGCTTAAAGAAAAAAATTACCTAAAGATAGCCTAAACAAAACACACTTGGCCCTAATGTCTGCCTCACTGTCTGTGGACCATATGGTGTTTGATAAGCCAGAATGCTTGTATTTATCTTCTGCAACCTGTCTGCAAAGCTGAGAGCCAGCTTCTTGCAGTAGAGACCATGTCATGCTCTTTAGTCTTGACTCACAGTTCCAGTCCCCAGTCTCTGCTCCAGGAAGCGGCTGCTACCATTACCATCCCCCATCCTTGCTGTCTACCTTGGCCGCCACACAAACCACAGTCTCCACAGCTGTTTTCCCACAACCCCATAAACCACAGCCATATCTATAGCCTCCTTGGCCATCTATGCCACTTAGTGGACAGCTAGCTAGCTCATTAGCATTCATCCTTACACATGCACTCCACCATTCACACAGGTCCTCTGCTATGATAGAAAAAACCATAAAAGTGATAGAAAAAAAAAACTTTTTTCACAGTTGTACAGTATTAGCCATCATGAGCATATTTTAAAAGTGATGTTGTCCAAGGGGATTGAACTTTGATCACAAGATAAAAGCAAGTGCACACAAGGGATATATGAGGATAGGTAAGACACCTAAAAAATTAGCTAGCATTTGTTGCCCTCAACGCAGAGAAACTAAAGCAGATACCTTAAAAGCAACTGAGGCCAACAGGAGGAGGGGACCAGGAACTAGAGAAAAGAATAGATCAAAAAGAATTAACCTAGTAGGTAACACACATGCACAAGAAATTAATTTGAGTCAACTCCCTGTATAGCTGTCCTTATCTCAACCAGCAAAAACCCTTATTCCTTCTTATTATTGCTTATACTCTCTCTTCAACAAAATTAGAGATAAGGGCAAAATAGTTTCTGCCAGGTATAGAGGGGGCTGGGGGGAGAGGGAGGGGCGGAGTGGGTGGTAAGGGAGGGGGTGAGGGCAGGGGGAGAAATGACCCAAGCATTGCATGCACATATGAATAAAACAATAAAAATTAAAAAAAAAGTGATGTTGTCTCTTGTACTAGAAAGGCTTTACAAGTATGTTTCTTCCTGAACTATACCACCACTCCTATCTTCTTGAATGAGAAAATGGCCAAGCAATAACTAGTCAATAAAAGCAGGCCTGTTCTCTTGCTCTCCCTGAAATGACCCAAATAATCACATAAAGTTCCATGCTCACTCCATACTTGGGAGCCCTGTTCTCCAAACTTCACACAACCTTCTTAATCTCTCTTCTAGAGAGATTGAGTGAGTGGAGAATTACTGCACATGGGGTAGAGAAAGATTACTGGAGTTGAATCTGTCAATGGGATGATAAGGTAAATGTGAATTTCAGATAAATAACAAATTGTTTTAGTATATCCCATGCCATATTTGGGACAAACAGTAGTCTCCCTTGACTTACAGGGAATATGATCCAAGATGTTTCATGGCTACATGAAATTGCAAATAATACCAAACCTTATATGATTTTCCTATGTATACCTACATATGATAAAGTGTAATTGATAAATTAGGAATAGTAAGAGATTAAAATTAATAATAAAGTAGAACCATTACAACAATATACTGTAGTAGGTGCTACTTAAAATTTATGAATTATTTATTTCTGAAAATTTCCATTGACTATGTTTGGATTCAGTGATCTAGAGTAACTGGAACCCCAGAAATGGAAACCATACTATAAGGTGGACTACTGTACCTATACAAAAAAAATTCTTGTTTATATAAAATTCAGATTAAACTGGTAGTCCTCTATTTTTATTTGCTAAATCTGGCAACCATAGACATCAGGAGTGGTGGGACCAACCCTTTGAGCAGCCTTGCTCTTCCCCAGTAACCCTGAGAGACACCACAGAAGCAAACCTGCCTCAGCCTATACCTCACTATTGCTACTCCAAGTGCACTTTGTGAAGGCCTGTAGGCTCTTTGTGGCTCTGTCTTCTAGCCAAGACCCCTGGTTGCTATGAACAAAGGGTAACTTTTCAGCCAAAGCAAGTAGTTGCAAAGAGCACCAAAGGCAAGTGTTTGTGGAACAGACCTAATGTGAGGAAGTGTAAGAGAAGACACCCCATCCCCAGCAAGTGTGACACTACCAAGCATGCCACACAAAAGCCCAGCAGCATTTGTACATTGCACATATGCCTGTCTTGAGCAGCCATACATCCTCAAGGAGACTCAAGGCCAGGGAATCCAAAAAGGGGTGGGGAGGTGGGCTTAAGAAGAGTATGGATGTTTATATGTGGACAGTAGCTCAAGTCCTAATGCAGCTGGTCTTGGCAGGCCCTGGCATGAATCCTGGCAGAAAAAAAGCACGTTAGGGGCATGGACACATGGGCTCTGAGCCAAACCAAGTGGGGGTATTTCTCTGTATACAGCCCAGAAGCATCTAGAAGCAGCTGTTATTTTCCAGCTTTGGTACCAACAATGCGATAACAGACACTTCATCTACAATCTATAGACTACTTTTACTATCAGTCAGAAATCCACTGGAAAATAATATTAGGTTAAACTATATGAAACAGCCATTTCTGTAAGTCAAAAATGTTAGAATATTTGCAATTACGTACAGCCCAACTAAATAATAATAATAATGACAGCCTGCTATCTATCAGACCTATCTTTCAAGTGTATTCACCATGTAATGTTTAATTCCATTTTTCTTTGGTTTTTTTTGTTGTTGTTGTTCTTGTTCTTGTTTTGAGATAGGGTCTCACTATGTAACCCAGGCTGACCTTGAACTCATGATTACATTTATGAGCCACCATGCCCAATGCAATGCTTAATTCTGATGACCTCTTTCAAGGTAAGTATTACCATTACTTTTGAGATTCAGAGATTGGTACACAGTACTCATCAGCTGCATCCACACTGGGTTTGTGTGATGCCAAAACCCACACGCATTCCACTCACCCCACAACCTGGACTATATGGTCCTTTTACTTCCTTTGCTATCTGTCTCTACTCAAAAGCCAATGGCTGACCAGTTCTGCAGCATCAAGCACTGTCAGAACCCCACCACGCACAGAGGCCAGAGGCCACTCTGTGTACACACTATAACTAAACAAAGCCTGGCCTCCTGAATTAATAGCAAAGTGTATCTAACAAATAATTTCAAGTGGAAAAAAACATTTGAAAGTTTATTTGGAGTGAGAAGAGAAAGAAGCCAAACATGTACTTCTAAAACAAACAGAAAGGAATCAAGCAAGAAAAATCTAGTCCAACCAGTTTTAAAATGCCTAAACTCGGACTATGAGCTAATATGTAGTGGACCCCAAACAAAGGCATCACCTACAGCCATATAGCATCATTGCAGACCTGGAGACATATGCTTCTGAGGCTCACCTCTGAAAGACTCCTGAGCCTCAGAGGGGAGAGGATGAGAAACATCCCAAACAAGCAAGTCAAAGGACCATTACTGGTCTTCTAACACCCTGAGCACCATTTCAGAGGTGGAGACCATCACAATAAGATAAAGGGGCTGTCAGACTTCAACATTAGAAGAAGTGAAGTAGAATTCCAGAAGTCAGTACATAATGCACAAAGTAGTTTCCAGTAATTCCAAATGAACAACAGTGATCAGAATTTGAGGATAAAAAAGAAAAGTAGACTGACCTTGACATGGACCAGGTAATGACGACATGTCTCCTCCATGTGGACCATCTGCAGCTTCTCTGAGATCTGGCCAGGAGTCTCTCCCAGCAAAACAAAATAGACCCTGGGCAGCTGGCCCTTCTCCTTTTGGGCCACATCGGCTGTCAGAACGTAATTCAGGCCTGCCAATAAAGGTGAGGTCAACACATTAGCAAAGCCAGACCCACAGTAGTAAGGCCACCTGTACTCACTGTGCAGGATCACATCATACCTAGATAACCACCTACTGTACAGTGAACTATAGCCCCATGTCAGGACTTCCTCAGGCAGAAGCATGCAGTCAGGTGCCCACAGAATCAAGAGAGCACCAGGATGCCCTCTGTCTTTGCAATGATGCTTTGTGTGTCATCTCTCATGGCTCTCCCTAATTTAAACCTCCTTCCACTATGAGTACCAATGGAGAGTCAGCAATATGCACATCAACAGCTAGTTGTAGCAGCCAAACAAGCATGGGGGCAAACCTGAAGAACATTACAGAAGCTGCTGAAATATCTGACTGAGGCACTGTGTAACATTGACTTCTATGGAGCAATGTGACAGAAGCCCAGCATAGGGGAACAATCACTTCCAATAAGTCTTCTTATCTCACAAATTCTGAGTCACATTCTCTAGTCACTACATCTATGTGACTAAGCACCGACCACAGTTTACCGACTGTATGTCAGGCACTGTTGTAGGCTCAGGGAGAGATCAATGAACACCACACACAAAAACCTGCCCTCAAAGAGACCACAGTAGGGCAACTCAGATGAAGACTGGGGATGGCTTCATTCCCAGGGAACTATGTGTGGTGGTCAAACACTTTGTGGTATCTGTCCTTCCAACAAAACTGTGGCCATGGTGGGAACTGTACTGAGGTCCACTCTTGAAAGAAAAACTCATCCTCTACACTAGAACATGTAGTGACAAGTGGGAGAATTGTCTGCACGTGATCTGGGTCTTCAAAGAGAAAAAAAAGATGGCTACAATGTCAAATACATATTAGATACACCCAAAAGGTCTAACCTCCATTGTTTCAAAGTTTTTAAGTAAATATGTGACTGTGTTTTATTAGGTAAATATGACTTTAGTAACAACAGACCTATTTCATGCTTTTCTGTGCCAGAGGCTAGCCCCTCTATAACCATTTTTATTTCTTAACTGTTTTATGGGTTTGGAAATATGGCATTTTGAAGTAAGAGAACAGGAACCTGTATCCCTAAAACGACCAGATGACTGCACCAGCCCATCTCCCTACCTCTGTGCTCAGAAGCCTGTGCTGTTGTATTAGTAAAAAGCAGCCCCAACTCTGCCAGCCTCTGAGTGTGTAAAGCTGAACTGGTCCTTACTAACATCAAAGAGCTCTGGTACACACTTCTAAGATGACCAAAAAGGAAGGAACAATGGTCATGCCAAAAAGACTAGCCATGTGTTGCCTATTTGCTGTACAAACTGTGCTCAATGTGTGCCCAGGTACAAGGGCATTAGGAAGTTCCTCATTCAAAACAGAGTATAGGTCACAGCCATCAGAGACATTTCCAAAGCAAATGTCTTCGTCATTTATGTGCTTCCGAAGCTCCATATGAAGCTGCATTGCTGTGTAAGTTGTGCCATTCACAGCAAAATGATCAGGAGGCCTAGAAGGTCTGAACATTTCCACCCCAACCTCACCTAAACCAGCTTAGGAGCTGGATTCCTAAGGATATTATTTTTCTGGGAAAAAAAAATAAAACGGAAATTATACTTTCAAAAAAAAAAGTAACATCAAAGGCCACCAGGGCAAGTCTGAAATGGAAGAAGGAAGGTGGCCTGGACTGGCTTTCTGTGGTGGCCCTAGGGCATGTTTTTGCTGCATCTAATGGCTTCCCTGGGTTGCTGCCATTTGGGATTCCTGCCATGCCAAGCTGGCAGATTCCTGGCCAGTGAGGACTAGTCTGCCCAACTTATTTATTCTAACAAACAGCTGATTTCCAAAGCAAACTGGGTCTCCATAGGGAACTTGGGTTGGGACATAGATCATTCAGGAGATAATTTTACCATTAAGAAGAAAAGATGTGGGAGAAATGACCCAAACATTGTATGCACATATGAATAAAAGAAAAAAAAAAAGAAAAGATGCTTCAACATAGAGAACATGGGCATCTACACCATGTTACAAGTCAACTCGATGGGGACAGAAATGGAGTAGGCTTGTAGACTGTTAAGGATTTGATGCAATCCAAGAGACAATCCAGAGCAAAACCTTCATTTTTACAACAAGGAGGCTGAGGCCCCACAAAGGGGCCTCTTGTTCCAGGTGAGAGACACACACATTGCACATTGAAATCATGAACTCTCCAGATCTCTGCTGCATGGCATTCCTACCACACTGGTTCTTGGTGTACTTTTTACATTACCAGACCACAAACCTCTTATTTTGTTGAATGCAGAAACTGCAGAACCAAACAAGCAGAGATCCAGAAAGTAAATACTTTCTACTGATCACAATTTCCCTGAGCAGCAGCTCAACAGTAAGAGGAGAAAAGTTATATTTAAATGCAGTGAGTTTTAAAGTCCCTTTTAGCAAGATCATGGCTGGAGAGGCACACTGCGGGGGGGCGGGGGGGGCGAGTGGGGCAGAAGAGGGGTGAACAAGCTGGATGGCAGCTGCTGAGGGGCCTCTCCTCAATGGCCCCTGCCCAGTCCTCCTCCCAGGCAAGAGAACTATGGTTGCCTATACCTCAGGAAGGACAAAAAAAAAATAGAACAGCAAAAAAAGTTATCTTGCCAGAGGCGAGCTAGCTGAGCTCAGAGAAAACATGGGTGGAAATGAGCACAGGAAGAGAGAGCAGATGGTATCGACCCCCCACCCATATCCTCTTAGCCTTTAACAAGTCTCTGCCATCCAGTCCAATCTGCAGCTGTCAGGACCTGCAACCCTTTCCCTGAGGGCATATTCTCCAGTGGCTCTGTTCATGTGTTTAGTAGACCAGGGTGCCAGGGAGATCAGACCCTACAGTGAGAAGCTCTCATAAGGCAGGATCCCAGCTCCCCTGCCTGGTGAATGGGACAACTCTGAGATAGGGATCTATACTGACTCCCAGGGTTCCCTGGAAGGATTAAGTTCCAGTTGCCCACAGTACTAACCTACTCAGAAATAACACCCTCTACTGGCTGCTTGGGATAGCTAATTTTATATGTCACTTTGGCTGACCCACAGTACCCAGATACTTGGTCAAGAACCAGTCTCAGTGTCACTGTGAAGGTTATTTTTAAATGAGATTAACATTTAAATCAGTAGACTGAAGCAGATTACCCTCCACAATTAAATGAGGTGGGCCTCATCTAATTAGTTAAGGTCTTAAGAGAAAAAAATCCTAAGATTTCCCCCCTGAAAAAAGAAATTCTGGCTGGGTGCCTGTGGCTCACACCTGTAATCCTAGCTACTCAGGAGGCAGAGATCAGGAGAATCATGGCTCAAAGCCAGCCCCAGGTTGTCAGTTCATGAGACCCTATCTCAAAAACACCCATCACTAAAGAGCAGAGTGGCTCAAGCATTAAGAGTGACTGCCTAGCAAACATGAGGCCCTGAGTTCAAATCCCAGTGCCACCAAAAGAGTAAGGGAGGGAGGGAAGGAGGGAGGGAGAGGAGAGGGAGAGAGAGCGAGAGACAGAGAGAGAGCGAGAGACACACAGAGAGAGAGAGAGAGAGAGCGAGAGAGAGAGAGAATTCTGCTTCTAGCTTGTCTTCAGAGTTGAGCTGCAACTTCTTCCTTGTGTCTCCAGCCTTCTGGCCTGCCCTGCAGAATTCAGACTTGCCAGCCTTCACAGTCACAGTCTTGTGAATTAATTCCTTAAAGTCAACCAGCCAATTCCACATTCCTTCATTCACTCTCATTCTCTCTCCCTCCATCTCTCTTCTGTTTCTCTGCAGAATCTTGACAGTCTACCCTTGCTATCTTGTTGCCCCACTTCCCTGTGGTTCCAGGGATCACCCATGAATCAGAATGTACACTCAGATCCTTAACTTGGGATCTATCTTGGGGAGAGACCAGATTAACACAGGGTAAGTCAGGAAAAGGGAATGAATTTAACCTTCAATGTGTGCCCAGAACTGGGATGAGTACTTATTTTGGGGGAGTCCTGAGGTTTGAACTTATGGACACACACTTGGCAGGTGGGTACTCTACCACTTGACCCACATCTCCAGCCCTTTTTTGCTTTAGTTATTTTTTGGGTAGGAGCTCACGCTTTTGTCCAGGGTCAGCCTTGAACCATGATCCTACCTATGTCTTCCATGTAGCTTGGATTGCAGATGTGTACCACCATACCCAGCTTATTTGTTGAGATGGGAGTCTCACTAACTTTTTGCCTGGGTTGGCCTCAAACTTGGATCCTCTGGGTCTCTGCCTCCTCAGTAGCTGGGATTACAGATGTGAACTCCTGTGCCCAGCCCTTGAGGACTTTACAAACACCCACTTTAGTTCATTCATTACAGAACTGTTGACACAAACCTCCATTGCAACTTATAGGAGAAGAGCAAAAATTGTGGTCTACAGAAACAGAGCTGAGGACAAGGCAATGATACCATAACTCTGGGTGGGGAATGCACAAGCGAACAAGTTCACCAATCGGATTTTTCTCAATTCTTAAAGTACACAATCACAGACAGATCAAATTATCTAATCATCAACTGCAGTCATTTGGGAGGTATTTCATCTCTACAACTGCCTACTTAGTGCTTCCCCTCAATTTAAAATTTAACTTGATATTTAAATTACTCCCCAGAAAAAGAAGTCAGTTCTGTATTTGACTCTCTTCTAGAAGACAGCAAGATTCATGATGAGAAACCCAACCTGAGTGAGGAAGGTCTGGTAGCTGCAAGAGGTAAGAGGAAACAGAGAACATGCTGAGTCCCTTGGGTGGGTAAGCAGTACCTAAGCATGTTGAGAAGCAGCCAGTCAGCTCACTTGGTTTTGAGGGGCAGTGCCTCAGGCTGGCTGAGTTGCTGCTTGCAGCAGCCCCTTTAATTTAAGCCAGCCCAGCCAGCCTGTCAGGGAGAGGGTGCTGGTTCTAATTAGGGTCTGCTCCAATAGCACATTTCATATCTTCAGGTTTTTCATCTGGCAGCTTGTGTCCATGCCATGTTGAATGATGTCATGTTGATGGAAAAGCTGACCAACCCCAAGTAATGCTTTCAGCCTCCTCCTTTCCCTGCCCCCAGCTGGTTCTCAAGCCCCTACCACCACTACCACCACCACAGGCCTGGACCAGGAGGGAGCCAGCTGTCTCGCATCATCTCTGGCTCAGGTCTCTCCCAGCCAGTTCTGAATCATTCCCGTTCTCCATCAGAACAAGATTTCAGCTGTGAAATTCTACTAATAAATTCTCCTTTCAGAGTTACTCTGAGCTGCCCTTGGAGTTTCCCGGGAGAGGGGAAAAAAGGGGATACTTCTACTTTATTAGCTTTCCTAAATTTTCTTGCCCTCTTCTCAAGGAGATTTGGTTAACCCATTCCTCACCTCACATGGATTTCTCTCATCCTATCTCTAACTTGAGAGATAAGAAGGAGCTCAGAGAATGTTCTTTGAGTGTAAAAAAAGAAAATGCACTCCTATAAGCAGAAAAGGGGCCTGGGAACAAGTTGCCTGCCTTCAACTCTTTCTGCTATTGGTGGATGATGTTGGTGCCATATCTCAGGACCTGGGCTCAAGGGCTTGCCCAAAGGCAGAACAAAGCACCTCTGTTCACTGTCACCTTTGTCAGGCTGAGAACCACAGAAACACAGGGGTACCATATCAGAGTGCAAAATGAAATCCCTTAGGCCTCATGCCTTTCTGGTTTTCGTTTAGCACTCTGGTGACAGTCTAGAATCTCAAGCATGATTTCCAGCCTCCAGAGATGGACAAGCAAGTTTAGCTTCAGCCTGGCCAGTAAGTCGGTATAAGCATGGCTCCCAGGTACGGGGCAGAGCCGTCTTGGGGACAGACTCACTATCCTTCCTTATGCCAACCAGGAGAGGCAGGCCTCAGGCAAACTCCCCAGGCCAAGGATGAAGTGATTAAGAATAGTATCTGTGATTGGTAGTATTATTTTTTTAAACAATTTCATGAAATCTGTGATAAACCTGCTTTTGAGGGAGCCTGCTTCAGAGTGAGAAGCCTGTCTGCATGCTAGCACTGAGCACAGCGCCTCCCCACCAAGGTGCTGAGCATATCCAGAAGAGTGAGTGAGGGGGCCTCCCTCCATCAAAATGCAAGCTCCCCTGTGTAACAGCTTCATAACTTTTTGTTGATTGAGACCCAAAATAATATGTGATTTGCCTCATTATCCTGTCTCCATACTTCTTGAGAGACTGGAAAGAGTTCAGAGAACGGCCTCTGGTATAAGGGCTCTCCGGAGTAGAAATGCACCCCTAATGCTTCAAAAGCTGATGTAACTGGATGCTTCCATGCTGGTTTACGAAGCTCTTATGGCTCTGTTCCAAATCCACCCTTCTCCCCTCCAATGTGACACTGGGGCAGGACTCCGCAAATCTCTTCTGTTTTGCCTGTGGCTTCCTGTGAGGTTTTGAGAATATGGAAAGCATAGGGAAGCTTGCAAGGCTGGTTCCTGCCTGCTTCCTATTCCTGTCTGCTTATCCAGCAACAGTTTTTCATGGCAGCTGCTTCCAAGAGCACTTAATGCCCATTTCTAGTTTTTTCCCTCATGACCCAAAGTCAGCCTCTTTGCACCCCCTCAGATGACCAGCAGGACCAGCCAGTGCCCCTGCTCCCAGTTCCACAGGGTCCCTTCTTCAAATTTGCAGGTTCTGATAACCCCAAGAAAGTCGTGAGCCCCAAGTATAATGTTGACTAGCCACCTGGAAGCTGTGAAAACATGGATTGCTGTGCCCCACACACAGAGTTTCTGCTTCAGATAGAATTTGTATTGCTAGTAAGAGATCAGGCAATGCTGACAGCTGATCTGAGATAAGTTGAGATTCACTGGCACAGACTGAGTGGTGGCAGCTGCAGTTACTACTGGGTCCTCCAGGATCTGGCTCAACCATTTCCCAGTGTTCAATTCTTTCTGTTAAAATAACTACTGTGGTGTCTGTTTTCCTGACTGGATCCTGCCTCCTATAGGAACCAGGGCAGATTCAGCCACTATATTTCTGACAGTATTTCCAGAAGCCACAATGGCCCCTCTAGTGGCAGAAGCCCAAGATGTGGCACTTCTAGCAAGCTCCCAAGTAACGTTGATGTTGCTGGTCTGGGGACCACACTTTGTAGCAGGGAGGAATTACTCAAAATGAAATGTCTAAGAAAATTAGTGAGTCCAGGCCTTTGTTGTGGTTTTATTGTTGTTGTTGTTTGTCTGGAAGTTTACTTTCTATTATTAAATTTCAAGTAAGAACAAAGCGCCAATAAATCTCATAATGTTGCAGGTGCTCTGAATTCTAATCAACACTGACCCTGTCTTATTCTGGGGCTGAATCTTGTCTCTGGAGATGGGATAGCAAGTAACCTTCCTCAGGCTGAAAAATGTCAAGGATAGCTACCATGGGCCTTTTTTCAACTCTCTGAGCTGCTAAAGCAGCATGCCCTCTTTAAAAAACCTAAGTGTTTGAAAACTCTTCATCCTGATCCCACAGTAAATGGTTAGACCCTGGTACCTGGCTGATGCTGCAAGCCCAGTGTGGGGCCTCAGATCCCATTGCTTCTTTCCTTTAACTACATAGAACATTCCATAATGGCCAGGCTCCCATTCCCACCCATTGTCCAATGAGTTTCAATCACGTTTGGGAAAAAGAATGCTTAGGGTCCAACATTATTTGTCCTAGAAGTGGAGGGTGTGTGAAATTAGGAACATTTAGGTGATCAGGAAAGAGAAGAGGGAAAGGGTGTCCAGTTCAGGGACATATTGCCTACAAAACCTGCTGGAACACACAGCAAGAGGGAACTCTGAAAATCCCACAGGCTGCCCACTATCCTGCTATGATAGGGATCCTGAGCCCTGCCTCCATGACTCATTACCGATTTCTCCTGGAACATGGTTTCCATGGAACCTAAAGCAGGCAGTGACATTCAGGCAGTTCACAGGCTGTTGTCCATCATGACACTGAGGTGCAGTGATGTTGATAGAGCTTGGGAGGAAGATGGAGACGTCTACTGTAATGACAGGTCTGGCCCTGCATGGCAAGAGGGGAAAGTGAGTCAACTGTATTAAGTATCAACTCTCCAAATCAAACAAGAACAGCGCATTGAGGATAAATTTTGGGTCTTTAGTCAGCATTTAATTAAAGTATGAAATAACCCAGGAGAGAAGGACCAGTGTGTTCTGTAAGTACTTTTTCTAGTTTTAAAAGTAGCATGTTTTCTAATAAACTAATGGTTAGCTTCCCAATAATAAAGGCAATTTGGTTGTTAATAAAACACATCTGGTTGAAGCCATAAATGAACTACCAGATGCTGGGTGATTATTTAAAATGTCACTAAGTTCCGATTTCTGTTTCACTGGGGAGATATGGATGTATTTACGAGGATTTCTTACAACAGAAGCCATGATTCGAGAACTAGCTGCATATTCAAGGATTCCCCCAAAACATCCACTGCCATTGTAAGCATGAACTGCAGAGTTCCAGTCCCAGGCTGTTGATCAAACCTCCCCCTTCATTTACCTCCATCACTTCACTGAATATTTTTCTAATAGAATTTGATTAACAGAGTCCCAGCTGGTAACAGGAAAGCACTTCAAGAGCAGAAGAAATTATCCCTTTAGCCTTGGGACTAAGAAAAACCCAAAAAACATTCACATTCCTCTCACTGACATATACCCCCTGGTCCCCGGCTCTTGAATGGTGGACAGCACTAGCCCTGGGCTAGTGGCACAAAGCCAAGAGGAAGTCACACACTCTGCTCTCACTGCAAATATCTGCTTAGGGAGGCTTCACCTAAGCTGAGGCTTAACTTTCTTCCCTCTAGAGCTCACAAAGAGACCCTTTCACCTTTAAGGAGCCTTAGCTTTCATGCCTCTGGGGTGACATAACAAGATTAAGAGGTATTAGCAGTTTGAGAATAATGACCTCACTTGTATACAATGCTCCCTCAAAGTGGCCCAGGGTGTCAGGACAGATGGAAATGATGACCAACCAACTCCAAGAAAAGAATGCATGAAAGAAAACCTGGGTGCAAAAAGGAAGTGAGGAGATACACAGCATGGATGGGGTGAGGGGACTCCACTGATGGGACAGAAGGGTCACCAGACAGGCAACTGTGACCAGAGAAGTAGAAATGTGGAAATCCCACAGCCAAGTCTGATTGTAGGGCAAAGGGAAGTCAGACAACAATGTTGCATGAAAGAAATCAACATCCTGGTCTTTTCATTTTCTTCTAGGTTCATCCTTAGAAGATGCTAGAAATAACTTAGAAAGTGAGTAGTTTACTCCTGGACAATGTGATTGTACTGATGCCAACGGACACTATATAAAGCCCCAATAACCCTCCCACAACTAGCTGTTGTCACCGCCCCCCCACCACCATAGCCTCCCTACCTCACCCCCTCTGTGGTCCAAGCTCTGTAGACACAACTCTGCCCACCACTTACTAAGGAGACTAGCCACTGCCTATTTTGAAACCTATTCCACCAGCCTACTGCACCCCCCCCATTAAGGGTTGTGTTCCCAGCAAATTCATGCTTATGTCCCAGGACAATAGATGTGCAAACACCTTTTTGAAGTAGGTGCAAACTTTTCTCCAGCCCAGGACTCTGAAAACCACATAAGAGGAGCATGTAGTAGCATAGCTCAGGAGTAGAAGGTAGGCCTAGCATGTGCAAGGCTCTGGTGAGAGAGAGGGGAGGAGATGGCCGGGAGGAGAGGAGAAGAAAGGAGGGGAGGGGAAGGAAGCGGAAGGAAGAGGAGGGGAGGGGAAGGGAGAGATGTGCCGAGCAGGGTGAGGTGACCAGGAGGCAGATATGAACAGTCAAACAGAATGACCTCGACAAAGGTTGTAAAAACAGAATCCTGTGAAAGGGCGGACAAGCCCTCACAGGTACATCTCCTTTCAACGTCTGTCAGATCAGTTCCCTTAAACATTTTTGTTTCCACTCCGAGTATTGTTTTTGGATAGGAGAAGCCCAGCAATCTTTTACAAGCCTCTCTGATCTCTTCCTTTGCCCCTCAGTGGCAGCCCCAGGACCTGCCCTCCTGAACAAACTTCTTGAGGGCAGAGCTGGGGCAGCCCACACTCCTGGAGTGGAGCCTGCACTTCACAGGCCCTTTCCACCTGCCAGCCTCTGAGATAACAGCAAAGGGGCACCCAAGGACAGCACTGCAAGTGCTGAAGACTTCAAAACAGCAAGTTTTCTTTCTAATTGCTGACAGATTATATCCTGAAATTCCACTCCAGGTAAATAATAAAAGTAGTTGGGGTACCCTTTGACATGATGTTCTGCACATTTCTCTGGGCTTTTGCAGGGTACAAATAAAGTGCCTATACCTTTGGTGATATTATTAGCTACTAAACTAGCCCTAGGGATACCTATCTCCAAGAAGCTCAGTTATGTTTACACAGTTTTATGTTTACACAGTTTTATCCACTCTCAGAGGTGGGCATGGTGGCATATGGCTGAGAATCCCAGCTACTCAGGAGGCGAAGATTGTAAAGATTGCAGTTCAAGGTCAGCCCAAGCAAAAAGTTAGAGATACCCCATCTCAACAAATAAGCCAGGTATGGTGATATGCTCCTGTCATCCCAGCCATGTGGAAGACATAGGTAGGAGTATGGAAGTGTGAGCCCAGACCTGGGCAAAAATATTTGAAAAAAATTCAAAAATATTTGAAAAATAACCTAAAGCAAAAAAGAGCTAGAGGTGTAGCTCAAGTGGCCTAGAAAGTACAAAGCCCTGAGTTCAAATCCCTTGCTGCCAAAAATAAACAACCAAACCAATCTTAATCAGGTTTTCTCTAAGCAGCAGCCCAAACCATCCCCAACCCACCCACCCCTGCAGTCTTTCTTAGAACATTCAGATACAAAAAGCCAAGTGTATATCTACATGTGCATCCATCTGCCTAGTCCTAGGCCTCCCATTTGCTGAACCCACCCACAATTTGAGGTAACTAAAATCTGACTAAATGCCTAACCCCCCAACTCAGCTGAAGCCTCCAGACCTTCTTGATCTCTGTCACTTTGCCACTTCCCAGCACCTGATCAACCAATCCACTATAGGTGTCCAACCTGCCTGGCTCCTCAGACACACTTGGCCATTCTGTTGCCTGTTGCCCCCCCCCCCCCGCCCCCACTATATCTCTGAGGTCCATAGCTCATCTTTGAACACTCCCTTGCTCTCCCTGAGTTCCTTGCTCTCCTGGAATAAAACAGGGATAGTTACCCTCAGCTTCACACTCATCCACATCCCATGAACCTCACCTGGCTTAGGGCCTGGCTCAGAAGATGAGGTCCCATTACCCTGTAGCCTGTAAGACAGATTCCATCTCTCTCACTAACCTCACCTTCCCACTCATGGCAGCAGCCTCCCTTCCTCTCTCATCTCTTCAGCCTCTCCAGGCCCCAAGGGAAGAATAGGGTCAGGACACTGGGATTCATATGGATGACAGTGAAGCTAAGAGTGATCTTTCTGACCCCTTCCAGGGGAAGACAGGGAAATGAGGGAAAGAGAAGTATCAAAGACATTCTTAGCCTAGTCAATGATCCATAGCCTCCCATCCTGTAACACCTTCTTTGAAACACTGATCCCATGTGCTCCTCTGCAGCCCAGCTTTGGGAAAGGCAGTCAAAACTCACTGTATGGTTTTTGCTTCTGGCTTCTGTTCCTGTACTTCTCAAGAGCTGCCATAACCAAGGCTATCATTGACCTCTCAATGCCATCTCCACCAGGACTCAGGCCTCACCTGGCCCTTTCTATTAAACATGATACTGATATCATTGACCATATAACTCTGCTCTGTTGTCCTCCTGGTGCTTTTCAACATCTGGAATTATTTTCTGAGCTAATAAAACCTGCATGTCCTTGGTCCTAACAATGCCTGTGCCATCAAGTTGCTAGTAGGAGTTAATATATGTTCTGTGAACACTAAAGAGGATGAACAAACCACATCATATTCATAGTACAACACAATGACATGTATGAATTCAAAACATCATTTTCAGTGAAAGAAGCCAGAAATAAGAGTTACAAACTATATAATTCCATTTAAGCAAACAGGCAAAAGTAATCTACAATTCACAACAATGAATTATAGTGATACTAGTTTTCTATCCAGGGATGGGTGCAACTAGAAAGAGCACAAGAAAACTTTCAGGACTGGCAGAAGTGTTCTGTACCTTGATTGGAGGAGTACTTATATACTGTGTATACTATACTCATGGAGCCACAGACTCAAAATGCTCCATTTCATTGTATGTAAATTATAACTCAATACATAAAGAAAACAACAACAAAAAAATGAATGCAGAGTCATGTGCTGCATGAACACATAAGGACGTTTAGGTTAAGGATGAACCACATGTACAATGGTGATCCCATAAATGACAGAATGTAATGATGTCACTGTTCTAGCTTCTGTTTAAGTACAAGCTCTGATGTTCACCCATGGCAAATCACCTAAAGAAGCACCTATCTGAATGTGCTCCTGTGGTTAAGTAACACACGACTACTAAAAATGCCTAGAGACAGTGCTGTAAGATAAGTGCTCCTAAAACATTAGTTACATTATGAAATACTTGTATATGGCTCCCTGGACAAACTATAAAGTCAAGGACTAGGTCTGTCATATTCTCTACCCAGTCCCCAGGATCTGACACCTACACACCTGGATCTCAATGAGGTTAGCTGAGTAAATGCTAGAATGGACTCTTGTTATCAAGCCTTCCCAACAGTCCTCTACAGCTCACAAAGCTTCATGGCTCTTCCCCGGTCTCCTGGTTTCCTCATTCAGGCTGGGGCTCCCCAACTGCTCTCATAGACCTCTTCTTTCCAACTGTGATCTTCCTGGCACTCTCCTCAAAGGACTTTATATTTGTCCCAGTTAAATTCCACCTCATCAGATGCTGCAGTCTGGTGGATTCACTATGAACCCACCTCTCACATCCATGTACAAGAGAATAAGAGAAGCCCCTTTGGGTTGAAGTTCACAGTGGGGAGATAATAAAATACAAGAATGGTGACAGGCAGAATCTACATAATGGACCTTAAAACCATATGCTCTGGCTTAATCACCTGGGAGATGTCAAGAAACTGACAAGCAGGAGTGAGCTGCTTAGGACATAAAGAGAGTACAGGTGACATCACAGAGGCACCACAAAGAGCTACCCACTTCATAAGCCTAACCTCCATCATTTGGAGCCTCAAAAATTGCCTTATCTAAGAGGAAAACTATTATCCCAGAGGAAGTAAAAGAAATTTACTAAATTGAAAATCTAACATGGGGAATAATTAAAGGAACCAGGGAGATTTGATCTTAGTGAAGTTACCACCTGGGGACACAACTGCCACCTTCAGATACTGAAGGGCCACTGTGTAGAAGATACTGGATCAGGAACCAGAATTTTAGCAAGGCAAATTTACATAAGACTTGCTAACATTTTTTAGGCACAAATATCAGGCACTGCTCTAAGCATTTTACATACACTAACTCATTGGCTTCTGGTAAATTCTACTGCTGTCCTGTTTCACAGAGAAGAATCCTAGAACAGAAGAATCAAGGGCCTTACCCAGGAAGTTCATCTAGTAAGGGAAAGAGAGTTTGAATCAGTCAACCTCAAAGCTAACCTGCTTTGAGTAACAATTTGATATTTAGAGTTACTTGGAGTCAACTGGTTCCCTTAGAAGGGAAATCTCACCCATAGAGCACCTCATTTAACAAGAGGCTGTGTGCCCCTCTGGAGGGAGACTTGGAAAAGGCATGGCTAAATGAGAAGAATCTGCAGGATGGAAGTACACGGCCTCTGGGATCCCTTCCAGCTGTAAAAGCCTACCAGTTTATTTTAGAATGTTCTGCCATCAGGTTATTCACAAAACTAAGTGCTGGCTCTAATTCCAAAGCATAATTCCGCCTCACTGACTCATACAGACAGAAATACTTGGAGATGGTTCATGGGTGATGATGGCAGCCTGCTAGACTTTAAAGGAGAGATCCAGACTGCATGGATCACTGAACAATGGGCTTGAGCTCATGTCCCTCTCTGCTGTCACCAGGGATTAGGCAGGAGGCTTCTAGTCCCTGGGTTGAGGAATAACTAGGTGAGAATGCTGAGTGTAGAGATGAAAAGATAAGATAGACAGGGCTTTCACAGTCCTTTGAGTATCATGCTCATAGGAAATGATAATACTTATATATAGCACATTAATGGAAGGGGCTCTTAATAGCAAACAGTCCTTGAGCTTAGGGTTGGGTTACCCCAAACCCTGCCTAGAAGCTCCAGGGAAGTTATTATCGCCTATTTATAAGCCATTCGAGGCCCACCAGCTAGGATTCTGGGATAGAGGATAATGAGAAAATAAAAGCATCATTCCCATCAACTAAGTACTTCCAGTCTGCAGAGACCAGGACAAAGGGAAGAGCTGACTAATGATGAACGATTCCCCTGTGCCTCCCCTATCAAAACCCATCATCACCCATAAAGAACACAACCCAAAGAGTAAGAGCAAGGCTTCTCACCTTAGAAGAACCACACTGTCAGACATGAAGGCTCCAACGGTAACATCTAAAAACAAGAAGTTACAGAGTTTAGAACATGATGGGAGCCACCCTCAGCTTCCCTCTGGCATGGTGCTCTATAGTGACAGAGGCCTGGCTTTGAGGCCAGGGAGCCCTCTGACTGCAGTAGTCTGGCTGTGTAATGACTTTGCAAAAATTAGAGCTACACTGTCCAAATGGCAATTACATGGCTACTAAGTTCTTGAAATGTGGCTGGTGGGAACTGAAATGGGCTGTAGGGTGCACAACACATTTTAAAGTCCCAGTTTTTAAAGATTAACTAACTCAGTATAACTTTTATATTGATTACACATCAAAATGATAATACATTGGCTATATGGGGCCAAACACTATTAAAATTAATTTCACCTATATTTTTAGTGGGGTTAGTACCATATTTCAGTTTACATATGTAGCTCATATTATTATTTGCTTATCAATGTTAAAGAGAGGTACATTTAGAATTAAATAACTCTTAGAAAATGCTCTAAGATCTGCCAACCACGGGAATCATATATATATATATACATACATATATGTGTGTGTGTATCATATAATATACATCTACAATATATTTAATAAATATCATAATCCCTCACTTTATGCTACCTCAGGGTCTCTCTGTGTCCTTGTCTATAAAATGAGCACAATTATCTCTACAAACTTCTTCAAAAATATTTTATATTTAAATCAGAAAATATTCATTAGTCACTAAATATATGTATTAAGTGATCATTAAACACATAGAATATTTGACTATTTACTAAGTATATTAAATCAGGTATTTAAATTAGAAAATTCAAGAAAATAATTGGTAAACTATAAACCAAAAACTGGTTTAGCAGCAATTTTTTAACCATGCTAGAGATCAAACCGAGACTCACACATGTTAGACAAATGGCCTGCCACTGAACCACACCCCCAGACTCTAGTAATATTTGTTTATAAATAACTTTAATTTTGGAAGCATTCATTCATTCCATAGCTCTGTGCTTTTCTTCACCCCAACATAAAACCGTCACCCTAGTGCTTCATTACTAGTTCACAGAACTAAGCATGTGAGTCTGAGAGAATCTAAATCTGTCCGTCATTAAATGAGAATACCCACACAGTACCCTCTTTAAGAAAAATAAACAGAAAATACAGAAATTACAGAACTTCTCAAATTTCTACATCTGGTGTGTTTATTAATTTCATTGCTCTTCAAAAGTCTTTTTAAATTGACTGCATGTTTGAAAATAAAGAACCTGACAAACCTATCATTTCTCTTATGAAAAACACAAGAATTTTAGTTCAGCTACATTGTAGAATGTGAACACATGTTGTTTATAGAGAAGCAACAGAGCTACCAGGAACCTTAAATCCTGGTAGGTACAGGCTCTGAGGCTAAACATCCTTGTCTATAAAGTGAGGAGATATCCTTCTTGTCCCCTCCCTTCCTGTCTACCTACCAGCATCACTATGAGATGGACATTGCACGTGGAAGCACTGTGTACTATAAAGTGCTAAATCTACATAAGGGTTTTGTGAATGACTGTGGATTGTCCAGAACAAGGAGAATTATTTTCCCAAGCTGAAAAAGACCCATGAGGGTCTATCTTGGAGCAAAACCTTTAGCACTGATCCCTTTCTATTTCTATTCCTTCTAGCTCTATAAAGATTCAAGGGTGTGCAAAAATCCTGTCAATAAGAAAATACAAAATTTGGTGTCCTCATATAAGATTGCATTATTTTCACATAGTTTAAGTAGAAAGAAATATTTTCTCAAAAGCAAGATGGCTATACATTCTGGGAAATCTTTCTAAACTTTAAGATGATTTTGGATATTTTCAAATTCTTATGTTTGCTTCTTTTCCTCACCCCACTCCAATTCCAACATCCAAAGAACTATCTAGTCAATTTAACCTAAACTACATATCACTTGGAGATGGGGTTTGAAATTGTACATATTTATTCAGTTAGCCTCAACCACCACAACCCATTAAGAGGACTAGCTAGCCAAACTCAAACAGTGAAGATCTACTTATTTGTCAACAAGAGGACACAGTTTTCTTCTTGCCCAAACATTTCTTGCCCATGGTTTTCTTGGGGGTGGGAAAAGGTGTGTTCCTTTTCTTCTCAAGAGTGAGAAGCCTCTGAATATAGTTAAATATAAAAAATGAAAACCATGAGGTTTCACTATCTACCACTTGAAATGTGGATAGTGCTTTTTTCTGCAGTACTATTTTGCTGTCACAGAAATCACTAAAAATCCACCCTTCTGGTACTTATATTCATCAGAGTGTAGATGTTTAGAAGTTCAAAAATAAAAATTTCAACACTACTTTTACCTTCAAACTGAACACCAGGGCTGGAATTGTAGTTCAAATGGTAGAGCACCTGCCTAGCAATTGTGAAGTCCTTCAAACTCCAATACTGCCAAAAAAAAGAGCACCAGGCAAAACCTCCCATTCTACTGCTGACCAGACTGAAAATTACTCTACCTTATTCACCTATATCCATTTACCTCACACTCCTTTTAAGATGGACAGCTTAACAGCTTACCAGGATAGCTATTTCCATCCATATCAATGCCTCCTGATATGGACTGTCCAAACATCCGTAGAACTGGGTTTATCTTCCGCCCAGACAGTTTCTGAAAAGGACAATAGGGAAATGGAGTCATTGGAAAAGGACAGAGTCACAAACAAGAATCTGGTTGTGTTTTAACCCAGCTTCTCCAGGGCACATGGTCTTAAGATGTTGAAAGGGAAAAAAATGCAGCCCTAGGTTGATCAGCCCTAATTTCAATTGCCTTTATTAGGCAGTTGAAGACCACATACTCCTTCACCAAAAGTTATTTTTAAATTTTCCTAATTTTGTTACTTAAAAAAATCCTCCTAAACTTGTATAATGTTTTGACATGTCGAAGTTCAAGATGGATAAAATTTAACTTTCATTTCTAACAGGTTCTCTTTTGTTTTCATATAGAATAGCTTGCTGAAATTCTGGGAGCACATGTGCCACCTATCTCTCTACCCAAATAGTTACTAAATATTTAACTGTCCTCTTCAAATCTACACAGTAGAGAGTCTCTCCCTAGAAGGGCAGTAATTAACATGTCTGGCTGGAAAGATGGCCATGTGGAAACTACCCATCCAGACAGCCAACCAGGTCTGCAGACTCCCAAGCTTCACAGACAGGATTAAACAGTTTTACCTAGTAAATCTGGAACTCAATGGTTTTGAAACTTCTATAAACTACAGGACATAAAAAGAAAAAAAAATCATAAAAGCCATACTCCTTGCTTAAAGACAGCCCTCATCCAACCCGTCACGCTTACAACTCTACCACCACAACACACATGAACCTCTGTGTTCAGCTTTTATTCATCATTAAGTCCATCATTTGCTAACACAGGCAGCACTTGGTCACTCAGCCAGCACTCATCATATAAAGCTGTGAATCAATGTATGTGGCACAATCCTCACAAAGATACTGAACTTCCCGAGTCAGAAAAGTTCCATCTTCTGGGATCCAACCAGTTCCCTCCTTCCCCTTATCCAGTCTGCTTCTAGAGGCTTCCCTGACAATGCCCTCATTGTGAACGATAAGAGACATGCTTTTCATGTCTTGTAGCCAAATCCACAACAGAACCTGGTTCATAGACATCCAGGGGCTCACTTTGCCTTTCTTTCCTCCTGCTTTTCCTTACTGAATCATCCTGCAGAGAAGTCATGAGTGGGGCCAGGGGTGGGGGAAAGGCTACCTTTCCCCAGCAGCTGATAACTGCAAATAACCCTCCCAGAGACTGTTTGCCATCTTCAGTTAAGCCATTCCACAGGAAACGTGTAAGCATCAAAGTACAGATCAGAACCCTGCAGGCAACACTGAAGAATGCTTCTTGGTAACAGACAAAGCTTCACATCCTACATGGCTCTGTCTAAACAAATGTGTATGTGTGTCTCAAAAACAATGCTTTGAAATAGACCATCTCAGCTCTGAAGACCAAGAACGCTAGCAGCAGCCTGCTCTGGGTTTGTGTTTCTAAGGTATGCTGTGGTTGGGACCAAGGGGAGAAAAGGGGTGGTCTATTTGGGGGTAGTGATACAGGCCATTATGCTATAAAGTTATCCAGACATCTGCAGGCTATTATGCTATAAAGCCAGGAAGATAAGTCTGTGCAGAGCTAATAACCCTAAATGGAAACCAGGAACTGCCGTGCTTGACCAGGTTTCTGTGTGGCATCCATTAAGGAAGGAAAAAGATCACAGGAGCCACACTACATGCCTAGAGGGCTCTCAAATTGAGAAAGGCACACAAGGATCTTAAAATCAACACTTCCTGGTAAACTCGAGAAAGAAGAATGAGTTAAAGAGTAATGTGGAAGGAAGTTAGGCCCTGATGTCACATTTTCTCCAGAAGAAATAATTCAAATCTGGGCCAAAGAAAAATTATCCTGGTGCCTAGATTTGTTTCTGATTTCTTCCACTCATTCCTGCACACAATGCCTACTCTGTCTAGGACTTAGGCCCAGAATAACCTGTCATTAAAGGACTTTTTTTTTCCTTTTAAATCACTGACCTTATCATATACATATTAGTATTTGAAAAAGTATAGTCATAGTTGCTTCTCTCTCCCCTCCTTATTTTAAAGAGCCCCAAACCACTTCTCTTTGTTGAGGTTGAGGATCCAGGGTGCATACTGAAAAAGGCAGGGCATCCAGCTGCTGATCTGGGCTTCCTACTCAACACTCCACACTAACCACAAAGTGTTGACTACAGCTTTCTGTATGATTCCACCCAGCAACAAAGTGAAACACTGCAGAGGCCCAGGAAGAGGGGAAGCAAGCGGGGGTCTTTCATAAGTAGCCTCTGGGTGTGATAAGCTTCCAAGGCCTATGAACAAGCTTCCAGGAGGACGCATGGAGAATGACCCTCACCCCTGCTTGAGGACAGGCTCCTCAGATGACTTTCAGCTTGTCAGGCTGGAAACAGCATCCCTGACACAGACCAAGATAACTCTTGGGTCACAGATGTGACCCCCATATTATGTTCAAAGCTCCTGCCTCCTGTCACGTTGGATGAATCACCTAAGAGTTTATTATTCCCACTCTTACTTATATCTAATGAAAAGAGGATGGCCCATTTGGGTAGATGTCCCTTGTAGTACACATGTCTCCTGACAAAATAAATTTCCATATTCCTAAGTTTTCTTGAAAGGGATTTTTTTCCAACATGCATGGGATTGAGGATGGTGGTTATGATCAAAGTTTCAGGAGTTAGACTAGCAAAGTTTCAATGACCATTCTGCAAAATCTACACAGGGAAAGTAAAACACTCTCCCTGAGTATGGTCACCACAAAGAAAATCAGTGGATAACAGAGGAATCCATTCCACATAGCCACTGTCCAGGGCAAAGAAAGAACAGAGCAGGCCCTCAGGAAATAGCCCTTCCTCTCCAGCACCTTCCCTAAGCATGTCTCTCACAGGCAAATCACTGAGCTGAGGAGGCCAGTAGAAAGGGGCTGGCAACCAACCCTCAATCCCCTCTCTCACATCTGCTACAAGAATACTCATGAATGCACAAATTGCATTTACATTTACATACTGACTCTTAAAATATAAGCATATGCATACAAATGAGAATAGGAAGTCCTCAGCACATAACTGTTCAATAATAAGTATTTGCTGACTGGAAATTTCTTATATGTGCTCTGTCCTTTTCTGTCACTGAATTGGTGGGAAAAAGACACAAGTCAGTGCCATTCTACACACATCCACAAATATCCTGCCCATACTTCTGTTGAGAACATGACTTCCTTTTTTCCCATGGTCTGAGCTTGATATAATCAGCAAGATTGAACACCAAGCTGACATGGCAAAAAAACAGAAATTGCCACTTCCACATTCCCAAGTCTTGAGTGCAAGACTAGAACTTTGACCAGCTTCTGGTTTCAATGAAAATTCTAACAACAGCCCATGATAACTTTTGACCCTCCTCTGTGGATCATGGTCTCTCTAGATTATATCTTAAAACATACTTCTTTGGCTTAGCACATAGAAGGTTCACAAAGAGGTGATCAAAAGGAGAAAGTTTCCTGTCATATATATATATATTTTTTTTTTTGTTGCACTGAGATTGGAATTCAGGACCTCATGCTTGCTAGGCCGGAGGTCTACCACTTGAACCATGCCTGCAGCCCATTTTTGCTTTCAGTTATTTTTAGAAAGGGTCTCGCATTTTTGCCAGAGCTGGCCTCAAACTGAAATCTTCCTGATCTCCACCTCCTAAGTAGCTGGAATTATAGGCATGAACCAATGCACCCGACTCCTCCCACTTCTTAAATAAATAGCTCTAACTCTGGATAAGAACTTGGGTATGAGTTTTCATACATGGAATCTGTCTCTGGATGTGATAAAACCTGGGATTCTAATGAATACTTTTCTGTTATAATAAGCAATATCAATAATTTGTCTCTTTCACTACAGGGAAGTTTGAAAGAAAGACAATGTATTTTCATTTGTACCCAAGACATGGTGCATAGAGAAGATTCCATACCTTTTTTGTTTGTTGAAAAAATGAATGAATGAACAGTTATCATGGTACTGTCATAGCACTTACCATTGAATACTGGGGGACTAGCCCATCAACATCACCATGATAGATATAGACTGCCCCTGCAAAGTCATCCTCTTTAGGTGCACCAATGGCCACATCTGTGGGGAGAAAAACACCTATGAATTGAAAAAGCCATATGGAATAATGTAAGTGTGACTTCCCTAACTCCAGTTCTTATGTCTGAGTCCCCTGATATCAGAAATTCTTGGTTGTAAATTATTCAAATATTAAGTGTGTGCTCTCTCAGCAGAAAAAATAGAGAAGTAAAGTTGTAAATGTTGAAAAGAGTTTAGTTCCAGAAAATTTTCTAACTCGTCCTCACAAGAAAGAACACTGAACCAACCAATAAAAGAAATACAATGTAGACTAGCCACCCTACAGACAATGGTAACTGCAAAACTGAGAATGTCAACTCATGCCTAGGTAAAGGAAATGTACAGAACAGCATTCATTCCACAATCCCCACAAATAACAACTCCTGGAACAAAGACCAACTCTATCTTTCTTTTCTTTGTTTCTAACAAGCAGGAATTTGCAGAAAGGAGGTCATGGGTGAGGGGTAGGCATCCCCACGTCCTCAAAATGAAGGTTCTCTCTCTGAATGAACACCTCTGTGGCCAGTGGCCTGAGGTATCAAAGGACATCTGGCCTTGGCAAAAACTGTACCCCAGCCCTGGAGACATGCCCCCATTCAAGTCTCAGTGTCAACATACTGTGCATACAGTGAGGGGAAGATGTTTTAGACAGCCCAGAGCTGTGCAGGATACTGTTGTCCAAGCAGAACTAGACAATAGGCACATATACCTTCACCCCTCCAATGCACACATATTCAACCCACATGCTGCCATTATCAGGGGATACAGTGTCTAATTATCTCCTTCCTTCTTTCCCCAATAACACAGCAGAGCATCACAGCCTCAGAAACAAGAAGAGTTTGTAGCAAGAAGTGTAGCAAGAGTAATATTTCTCTGTCATAAGTAGCCCTGGATGGACCAGTCCCAAGGTTTTCTTCCACTTCAAGCACACAGCCAAGAGTGCTGAGCTGATGAGAAATGATTATGCAGAAGCAAAGGTCCAGTGGGCTCACAGCTCATCCCAAGGTCAGCTACATGGAGAACATCACTAACGGTTTTCCTGTCTTCCCACCAGAGGATATTGTTCAGCCTTCACAGTGGGCTAGGAGATCCAAGGAGTGAATAACCAAAGAGGGGCAGCATGGGGCAGGAGGGACTCCAAAAGCCATGGGCAACCTTTCTCACCTGGGAACCCATCATCATCAAGATCATCCACACTGGCAATGCTCTCTCCAAAGTGTGCATTGTAGGTACCATCCCCAGACAGGGCCAGCTGCTCCTCAAGGGCACCCTGGGAAACAGGATAGAGGAAAAAATGATGTGAATAAAATGAACATAACAAACTGAAACAAGAAACAAAATAAAAAACCAGATTCAGAATGCTACCCTGTAGCACCCTAGAATACACCCTGTTGAACACACAGGAAACACCTGGACAGAATCCCAGGAAAGGAAATTTCTCTCTCCTGATGGCAAAACAAGACCCTTCACCGGTGTGGCAGGATGATCTGCAATAGTCTGAGATATGTTTTGGAGGCAAGGTGAATGTCATGCGGACCACCTGTCCTAATGCTCATCGATAAGCAAGCCTACCTACCTACCTGTCCACACAGTGTCCTCTCAGCTTTCCTTACAGCCTAACATTCCCCCAAAGTTATTTTAAATATACCAGAGGAGGAAGAAATTGTTATGATTGCCTTCCTTCCTAAACATTTCCCTAATCTTTTAAAGATCCATCCCTCTCATATGGTTTTCTAAATTCTAAAGAGAGGCCTCTATAAGACCTCATCTTCTTCTTAGCTCACATTAACTGACTTGCAGAAAAGCAATGTGTTTGTCTGCAAAGAAAAACGTAGATGATGTCCCAGGATGCTAAGGTCCCAAGTCCTAATGTTTTTTGAGGAAGAGGAGACTGCACTAGAGAGAAAGGCCCTACTCAGTGGGGAGATTTGCTGTTCTTTGCCTCATTGTAGCCCCTTAGTATCTCATAAAAGCTCTGTGCAACTATGAGCCCCTAGAAGAGGAAGAGACAGGAAAGTCTCCTCCATTTTTCACAGGATGGCCTTAAACAAATGCATTTCTTTCTACCAATTTCTGTGTCCTAGGTTTCTGGTACAGCAGCAAGCAATATGAACGTTAGAGTCTGGTAACAAAAGGAAGAGTATATATTTTTCATTTTTTTTCTCTCCTGTGCCTTTTGATACAAGTTCATAAAGTTGTTTTACAAGGGGCATGTATTGGTAACCTTGAAAGAGGGGGCATGGTTCTGAAAATCCAGACATGTGGTAGTTCTAGACCCGGGGCTAGAAGGTGGTGGAATATACCACTGTGCTCTTTGTGAGTGGGTCAAGTTTGAAATTCATAAGCAAATGATAACTAACAGAGGCAAGGGGTCAATGGTGTATGGTGGCAGTGAAAGCCACCCAAGAACACCCACTCTCCCCCCAAATCATTGACATGGGAATACCAGAGCCTAATACCCAGTACAGCAACAACAATAATAAAAACCAACAAAAAACTCTATAATCTGAGGCTTTGAGGCAAAAGAATGTTTAAACCCTTTCCAGTATGCCAGCTTTTTGGACCTGCAAACCATCCCATGAGTATGTGGCTTTTGTCATGACCAAATCTCTTTCACTATAAACACAATTGGCAACTTGAAAACAATAAAGATGTGATGATTTCTTGAATCAATGAAATCCCCACCCCACAACACAAATAGAGTCTTTCCTTGGTATCTGTGTGGTATTGGTCTTGGGACTCCTCACAATCCAAAATCCTCAGCTGCTCAAGTTCCTTATATAAAACATCATATTTGCATATATCCTATATTTAAATCACCTCTAAATTACTTATACATGATATATTTGTAATACTTATTTATGATATACTTACATATTACTCATACACAATACACATACACAACTGTATGTCATTATTAGTACCATGTAGTGATATACAAATAGTTGTTATACTGTATCCTTTAGAAAATACTGACAAGAAAAAAGTCTTTACATGTTTGGTATTGACACACTTTTTTGTTCACATATTTTCAATCTGTTACTGGTTGAATCCAATGATACAGAGCCCTCAGATTCAGAAGGCCTGATGTACATGCTTCATCCTGTTGATGTGATGGGGAAGAGAGAAATAACAGTAGCTAAGTCTGTCTATATACCAAGCACAAAATATCTACCTCCTCCTTTAGAGGCCCTTTCTAATTCATGGAAGAGGAAATCGAGGCATCAATTTCAAGCTATTTGTTCACATCACACAGGCAAGGAGATGGCAAAACTAAGATTCAAATTGAGGTCTACCTACTCCAGGGTCATCACTTTTTTCACTCCTTCATAGTACCTTCAATTATTAATGAAATTGGATAAGATTCAACAGAAAATTTTTAAAAACACCCTGGTATTTAGGGTAACCATACAGTATTAAGATACACTAGAAGGGACTGGGTGGGTGGGGGGGCAGGGGAAGTATGAATCATACTCAGAGGTTTGAAGGAATTATCATGCTCCAAGATTCACCTCTGATTTAGACACACAGTTAGGCTGTTGGGCTCAAAATCCATGCAAATTCTTTAGCCTCCTACAAATACAATGATGACAGCCACTGGCCATATATTGCTCTCATCTATAGAATGACCACCTCATTCATCCCTGTCCCCCTCCTGGAATGTCAATGGGGAAGCAGGTGCCCAGAGTTGCTGCCTCTGGTATCAAGAAGCACTCCCTTCCCCAGTTTTAGATCCATCCTCCCAAAGAGTCTGCAAATACCACAGGTAGCACAAGGTAGAATATTCCCTGGCTCCACTTCCAATGATGGCCCCTTCTTCCTGACATCTGCCCACCAAATTAGAGTCAAACACCATGGTCCTCTCCTAGCATCTTCACCACTGCCTTATAGTATACTGTTTACTGATTTTTTATACTGGAAGTATTACATTTTAACTGTTTGGATAAAGATAAAACTAAAAATCTACCCAAGAAACATCCCCCAGAGATCTGTTATTAGCATTTTTAAAGGTTGTACATGTGATCTTTAACCTGCTTTTTCTATTGATTATCTCAAAATATGTCTTCTCATGTTAGCTAAAAGACAAGAATGCATTCATTAAACCACTTTCCTCTTGTTGAATACTCATACTTCTAGATTCTGAAAGGATTATGCTGGTACCCTGCCTCCACTGGTTACTGCTCTGCCATCTACTTGCAGCCCCCAGTCACTGGCTAGAGAGGTGAAGGTGTCTTTCTGACCCTGTACCACCCTTTTCATGGCAGAATAAGGGACATTATGAATGCATCCCTTGACCTCTTTATTGGCCCTCAACCAGCACTTACTCCATGCAGAACTAAGTGGCCTACTACTCTCACCTCAATTCTCTTACCCAGGTCTCTGCTGGGATTTCTGTACCAATCCCAGCAGGGTGCCCATCTGTACCCTGTCTGCCTCACTCCTACTCCTTCCTCAATATCCTCCCAGCTCTTGCATCCTCTGCTTCTCAGGTAGCACCTCTGCTTCTCTCCCAGAGAGGCAGCACAACCTAGAGACAAAACATGCCAGGTCTGAAGCCAACTTGCTGAGGTTCAAATTCCAGCCTCACCACTTTTAGATTTGGGACATGTGAATGAATCTCTCTGGACCTCAGTTTTTTCATTTGAAAATTGAAGATACTTAATACCATGTATATATTGCACTGAAATCATTCATAGGAGCAGGAAAAACAGTCCTTGGCACACAGTGAGCACTCAAACAACAGCCATTAAGATTTCCCCTGGACCATGAATATCTGAAGTTGTCACACTGCATGTAATTGTACATTAATGAACCATTAAGCTTCTTCACATAGGAATCATGTCTTTACCTTCTCTGGGCAATGTGGCCTAATACACGTCTAGGGGTGCCAGTCACTATGACTGGAAAAGTGTCCCCCAACACACCCTGGCCCCTCATCCATTAGTGTACTCACATTTCCTCTGTTGATGTAGACAGTGACCTGCCCCTCGTCTCTGATCTCAGAAAACATGGGGGCCCCCACAAGCAGGTCAGAGAAGCCATCCCTGTTCAGGTCAACTGCACACAAGGAAGAGCCGAAGTAAGACCCCATCTGCAACCAAGTTAAGTCACAACAAAGCATTCAGTGTCTGCCCTTATACACCACAGTCCTCGCTTTCTTCCAGCCCACTGGCTTTAGAAACATGTACCCCCAGCCCCTCAGAAGCTGTGACAGCTATGCTGGCCTATAAACCACAACACCTAGGCAAACAGTAACATACCCAACTCCCTTGAGCCTTCCAATCAACAACAGACCAAGGCTAACTGGCTCAGAGCCTCCCTTTCCTGGAGTCCTCTCAGGGGACTGTAAATAAACTGATACCTAGAGAATGAGTTACTGTTTGTAAAAACTCAAGTCAAGGTTGCAAATACAGATTACAACAATAAGAGTGGTCTATATATCAGACATTTGGCAAAGCCAAGAAGTAGGAGTATGAAATCTCACAAAACAAAGCAGATATGAAAAATAAATGTAACATGGAGAAATAGGTTTCCTTCCCTATTCCTGTGCATAGCTAGAGCTAAAAGGGCAAAAACTGAAGTGGTAGAGAAGGTATAACTTATAAGACTGTTTGACTGATGGGGAGGACAAAGTTAACTTCTTTTGGCTTTTCTTTAATCATGGCTTAACCCAGAAACTATTATTTTAAATCCCAAGTCTCAAATCCAAATACCAGGTGATGATACAGACATAAGAAAACATAACTGCAAGTGTGCTTATAGGTAGCAAGTGATGTTTGCCTTTGGTGTCTAAGTAACAATATGGAGTGGTGGGGACTGTGGTAAGCTGGAGCCCACAGACCCAGCTGAAGGAGCAGCTCCTGCCCAGCTGCAGCAAACTGCCACCTGAGGAGGACTGACCCACAGAGGACCAGTCTTCCTATTTTCCAAGAGAAGCCAAAAATCTAAACTTTTATTTAAAGTGCTGAGTTCAGATGCTGACTTGTTCATATTAAAAAATGATCAACATATCCTGTACAGGACAAACAAAAACTTTTATAGGTGTGTCCTCTCTAGAGGTGCTAGCTTGCAATATCTAAAAAAAAAAAAACTGAAAAAAAATGTGCTGATCATTTTAAAATAAATGCTTCAGTTAGAAGAGGCCTTGGCTCTGAGAACATGAACATGCATTTTTCTCATCATCAGAGTTTGGCAGGTGACCTCAGGCTCTGAAAGAGGTGACAGTGTTCCAATCTACTTCTTCAGCTGATGCTGGCACTGGATATGGCAGTGGCTGCCGAGCACCCCTTCCCCAGGCACATGTCAAAGTCAATTCCCCCATTCTTGAGGGAGAATGTCATGGTTCTAGAAAGTTTGGAATCACAGTGGGTTTGGAGGACAGAAACCAAGTTGCCAGTCACTAATTCAGCAGCCTTGCCAATCTGCCTATCGTTGCTTTAGGAACAGAAAGCAGTAAGACACAGGCAAGGCCGAGGAGCAGAGCCAATGGCTGCTCTCTGGGACAAACTGTTTGTTTCTTTACAGTGGCTTGTTTCACTGGGCATTTTCATGGGTGTTAAAATCAGAAATCCCTGAAAGTGAACTTTCCTACCAAAGTTTTGAAATGCAAATACTTCAAATACTTAGGTGATTCAATAAGACCCCAATATGGCAATAATATTCTTTGGGGTAAGAGTCCTTTAACAAACTCCCCATCAGCCTGGAAGTGTGTGTGGAGGATCTATTTGTGCTAAAATCTGAACTGCATACATACTAATGATTTTGTATGTGTGCTGTTTGTAAGATGTTAACCAATAAAAAGTAGAGCCAGTTTTTTGTGTTTATTATTATATTTTTCTCTTCCTAATAGGAAGGCAGGATGTGGGACAATTTGACCAAAGAGTAACTAAACAATAGCAGAAGTTAACCTGTGGTTTGCTGAGTTGGAACTCTCCTCTATGTGTGACCACAGAAACAAGGGTAAAAGCTAGGGATGTCCTCTGAAAGCCTGAGGGTCATGTTCTCTCCCTATGAGATAATGCAGAAGTTAGAGAACTGAGAATATCTCATTTCTTCTGGCAAAAAGCAGAATATGACATGTAAAGAGAGCTAATGGCCCATTTCAAAAAGGATGATGAACATAAAGCTAGCTGGAGATACTGGGAAAAGAAAGTGAAGGCCAGAGGGCCACAGGGTACACCAGGATGGTGGTAACAATAGAACATGGCAGAAATTCCAGCAAGAAGAGCCCCAAAGAAAAGACAAGGGCAGAAGTCTATGTATCTAGGATGACTACATGGGCTCTCCTATCTCTGTGTCAGGGAACCTGACTTACCTTGTCCTAATAGACATTCAAGTGGACATGCAACCATGTCTGTCCTGGAACTTGAGGGCAGAGTCCTCAGGAAGTTTGGATGGGAGTTTCTCAAAGGTTTACCTTATCCTCTCATATCACCCACTTTGAAATCTATCCCCAAAACCTGAGGAACTTAGGCATAAGTGGGTGGCCATGTAAGTCATCATCTAAACCAAGAGATTTTCAGGAAACAGAAAAAGCACAATCAGATTTCTATTTATGCCAGGACAACAGGCACTAACTTGGTAGAGGCGCAGAGAGTGAAGAGGAAAGAGAAAGGGACCATAACAGAAGACTCCACTACAACTGACAGAAAGATACTCAGATCATAGGGTGACAGGCATGCTCAAGCCCCACTATTTACTCTAAAGAACCTTTTAGATTACTTTTCAAACCCATTTGAAGGGAGAGGGCAGTGTTTTCACAGTAGACACACTCATTTATGGGTTTTCAGAGAAAGGCTTAATATGTCAGGCTCAGTAGCATTTACACCCTACTTGCTATTTGGGACTCTTTTAAAAAAATCACAAATGGCATATAGTTATTTCTTTTCTAACTTCAGGGATACTTGGAAAATCTTTTTTGCAAAATTGTGCACACTTTCCAATGTTGCTTTTGGGTTTTGGAAATGTTAAAATAATACAGGCCAGCACAGTACTGAGGGAAAATACAAAACCAAGTTTGTTAATGCATTTTTAGGGAAAGGTTATGATAAGTATATACTAAATGTACATATTAGTGTTGTAAATTACAAAAATTAAAAAAAAGGATCTACTTGAAAGTAGAATTTTTGGAACTCAAAACATGGTTCACCATCAGAGCAAAATGAAATGATCCAAGTTTGGTGTACTTTTAGGTCTAACTCAGAGCATGATCAGAACCAGGATTGGTGGCATGTGGCCCTGGAAGGAAACAATCATTTTCTCTCCTTGTCACAGAGCAATAGCAAATCACTTGGCATTCTATCTTCTGAAGCTACCCTCCCTTCTTTGAGATAACACTATGCTTCTCCCCAGAACCCACTAAGGCTTTCACCAAGACCAGCTTCCAAATCACCATATACCCTTTCTCCCAATTGCAAACTGTGTCCCAGAGAGCAGTTAATCTCAGCCAAACCATCCTGCTGATCTAAACAACATGAAGATATGCCAGATTAAGAAGCCCAAGGAAAATGTTGCTGATTAATCAAAGGATGGTCTAACTGGCTTAATCTTAGACTACGACACAGTATAATGAAAACCTTCAGGAAACAGATCAGGGACAGGATGGGAATGACAGAAGCAGATAAACCTTCTCCAGGACTAACTTCAGGGCAGATTTCTGAGCTACTTCCACTTCAAGGTTCTAAAGGGAATGTGGGTGCTTTTTGTTTAGATTTTCTTTATGTGACAACAGTCCCTTAGGCAATGAGAACAGAGGGCTGAAGATATGGGAAGAGAGGGCAGCTTTAGGCTGGAAAGACAGGGACATTGAGAAGCATCTGTCTTCCTGTGTCATTTAAAAATAATTGGTATTACAGGTTTGTGTAATAGGTTTGCTACCTACACTAACTGCATCTGATCTCTTTGGAGATAGAAATGCATAAATATGAGCCAGATAGAGGCAAACAAAAGCAAGAGGCACAGAGGCAGGGACACAGAGAATGCAGCATTTGAATGATTGTCTGGACTGTGACAACCTTTTAAAATGCTGTGCTGTCTCTTGGGGATATACCCAAAAGAATGTGACACAGGTTACTCCAGAGGCACCTGCACACCCATGTTTATTGCAGCACTATTCACAATAGCCAAGTTATGGAAACAGCCAGGATGTTCCACTACTGACAAACGGATTAAGAAAATGTGGTATTTATATACAATGGAATTTTATGCAGCCATGAAGAAGAATGAAATGTTATCATTCGCAGATAAATGGATGGAATTGGAGAACATCATTCTGAGCGAGGTTAGCCTGGCCCAAAAGACCAAAAATCATATGTTCTCCCTCATATGCAGACATTAGATTAAGGGCAAACACAACAAGGCAATTGGACTTTGATCACATGATAAAGGGAGAACACACAAGGAAGGTATGAGGATAGGTAAGACACCCAAAAAACTAGATAGAATTTGTTGCCCTCAATGCAGAGAAACTAAAGCAGATACTTTAAAGCTACTGAGGCCAATAGGAGAAGGGGACCAGGAACTAGAGAAAAAGTTAGTTTGAGAAGAATTAACTTAGAAGATAACACACATGTATAGGAAATCAATCCATGTCAACTCCCTGTATAGCTATTCTTAGCTCAACTAGCAAAAACCCTTGGTCCTTCCTATTATTGCTTATACTCTCTCTTCAACAAAATTAGAGATAAGGGCAGAATAGTTTCTGCCTGGTAGCAAAGGGTAAGGGGGGTAAGGGAAAAGGGATGGGTAAGGGAGGGGGCGGGGGGAAGTGGGGAGAAATGACTCAAACAATGTATTTACATATGAATAAAATAAAAATTTAAAAAGAAAAAAATGCTGTGCTGTAACTTAGGCAAGTATAAACTCATCTTACTACATTATGTGTCTTAGGAGCACAAATCCCATGAAATCTGCAGGTTATACATATCACTGAGAAAGTAAAAGCACCAACATGTACATAGAACCAATTTTCTAAAAGAAACTGACTCCCACATAATCTCATCTTTCAAATGAAAATTAGTCACTTATGACAAGAACCTTACCTTTTTACCTGATGCCTGAAAAATTTTGATTAGGGTGCCTGATCTTCGGTCAGCTCTAAAAATATAAACCTATAAATGAAATAAACTAGTTAGGATGGAAGCAAAGACCAAAATATATTTATCACCATCTTCCTGGGACTCACATGGCAGGCTAATGATAGTAAAGAATAGTTTTCAGCATAATTCTCATCTGACCAACACTGCAAAAAAAAATGTGGCCTTTACTACTGAGACAGAAATCCCCTCTGCTCCAAGGGAGCCATGCATGCTAAAATCCAAGGAGTTTCCACATTATGAGTATGCAATTCAATTCCCAGAAAAAGTGGTTTCTCCCTTAAAATAGCTCCTTCAATCCTGTAGAACTTTATCAGCTATCACAACATAAAACAAAGGGATGGAGGGGAGTTTCTTAGACAAAGAAATTCTCCAAAGTCATTCCACATAATATTAGAGTCATGGAATCTGCTTGGATAAATAAGAATTTAGTTTGGGAAATGGGAACATTAAATAAATTTCTTTACTATGGAACTTTTTCAGAGCCCTTAGCAGAGACATTTAAACCATGAACCCACTGACATTTAACTTGCTAAATGAAGTAGACTGCAGAAGTTCTTTTTCAAGAACTTATGGAAAGACAATCTCATGAGAACCAGGGTAAGGGACCCTGTCCTGGGATAAAGGAAATGCATACTACTGTGAAGACTTTTGTGTCACCAGACACTTTTTCTGACACCAGAAATGAATAATCACCAAAATCCTAAAGGCCAGAAGCAGAGGTCCATCTTAGGGTCCTTAGAGATAAGTCTGTATGAACTCCAGTCCCTGGGAACATGGAAAAGTCAGCAATGTTGTCAACTACTACTGGTTTCCCCACTGCCTCTTGGGTCATAAAACTCAATTCAAAGATGAGTTTTCGTGGTTCTTTGTTAACTGGATCCAGAACTCCTTCGATCTGGCTCTACTGATAAATACCATTCTTGCCTTAAGACCTGATAGATACCATGCAGTCATCACAATTATATGAAGAAGAAACAATACACTGAACTGACTACAATGACTGAGAAAAGAAAGCACAGGCTTTGTTATGAACTGGTTAAGCACTTTCACCAACATGATGAAGAACCATGGTGGCACTGTAGTTCCTCCCAGAAAGATACCAATGATATGCAGACTGCACTCAGGGCTTTTCTTTCCACCATGTAGAGGAATTCATTAGAATCAGAAAGAACCAACTCTTTTCTGAAGTTTTCAAGATTCATCAGCACAGTTTTCCCACCCTCTGGCTGGGAGCCTGGTTTGTCTGGTTTCATTTTCAAAGGACCTCTCCCCACAGGATCAGTGTTAGGAAGAAGGGAGACACACACTCCAGAAATATGAGCAGTGGCTCCTGCTCATATTTGCCCAGGAGGACCTACAGAAATGACCTATTGAACATATCTCAGTCAAGCCCAGTCAGTTGGATGGCACATTAGCTCTCTGATCATCCAGATTTCCTGCCTAAAGGCTCCCATTAACAGTCGTCTCGGTCAATATAGGCTTATCCAGAATTCAGATCCCACTTCACTGAGCCACAGGTGATGTGGCCAGACTCTATCATAGGTCCATCATTAGGGCCCATTAGGACTATAGATCCAAAATTCATGCCACTGTTCAGTCTTTCCCAACACAACAAAGACAGAGTGCTGACCCATCTGGACCTCCATAAGCTAGAGTTCATATATCCTGAAATCAAAGAATCAGTAAGCATAGTTCTCCATAATTCAGGCCAATAAGGCCATTATTCCCAAGGGTACTCAGTCCTGAATGCATGGGATCTGTTCTACACTTGGTGCAGATACTTTAGAGAAATCTAGATCCATGTATTTCTAGCTCAGCTTTGGGCTCTACCAGTCATGTTTCCTTCTAAAACATTGAGGAAATAAATGAAAATCCAGACATAAAAAGCTCTAAAGATATCTAGGACTAGACCTGATTCCACTAAGTCAAAGCCAAATCTGGGAAGATGAAGTATTTGAAGTTGGACAGCATGGGATGCCATTCCTTTCAAAGGTGCCATGATGTCAAGAGTAGTCTTATTTCTTTCTTTGAGATACTGGGGTTTGAACTCGGGGCTTCACACCTGCTAGGGAGATACTCTGCCACCTGAGTCATGTCTCCAGTCCAAGGGTAGTCTTATAAATCACATACACACAGAGCCAGCTATGAAAAACCTCAGAGGGTTGTAAGAAAATAGATTCATCATTTACCTGCCAGCAACCCAAGAGAATGTTTAGGTTATAAGCCCATTGGCAAAACCTCTACAACAAGGGCAGCACACTCCCCTCTTGTCTTATCCCATGTTATAACACAGGCTTTTCTCACCTTTCCTATGCCTTCATCCTGTGGGGCGCCTCCTACCACGTCAGTAGTGGTTGGGTGAGAGAAATGGCCAGCGGTCACTGCATAGCCTGAACAAGATGGGTGAAAACCAAAGATAAGGTTGAGAAAGAAGGCTAGGGAAGAAAGTTATGCATCAGATGAAAAGGTTTCTTGAGCATGTCTACTATCTGTACAGTTATGATTCCATTATTCTTGGAACATCTACAACTCATGTCACAAAAGCACATGTTCACATTCACAAGGCTACTGGAGCAGGAAAGAATGTTTTCTGACCACTCTGGAATAAGTTCTGTGCGAAATACTCTGTATCTCTTTGTATCTCTTTTTTTTCTTCCTTTGGGAACTATAATTTTCATATAGTAAAGCACACACAACTGAAATACAGAACTTGATGAATGCATATACATGTACATAACCTTACAACTACCATCAAGATCCAGAAAGTCAATGTAAGGGCACTGAGTGTAGTTCAGTACTAAAGCACTTGCCTAGCCTGTAAAAGGCTCTGGGTTTGATCCATTGCACATACCCCATCCCTCCAGAAAAAAAAAAGTAAATATAAACATAGAACCGTAACTCTAAAAGGTTCCCTCATGCTATTTCCTCATGCAAATCTCCCCATAGGTAGCCGTCATTCTGATTTCTATCATTGTATATTATGTTTGCCTTTTCTGGATTTTATCCAACATGTGATATTCATCCATGTTGTTGCACACAGTAGTAATTTGTACCTTTTTATTGTTGAGTAATGTTCTACTTGTATGAATACGTCATATCTTTATTCTCCTGTTGCTGAGTAATTGGGTATTTCCAGTTTGGGGTTATTATGAGTTAATCCGATATGGGCATTTTTTACACATTTCTTCGTGTGTCATTATCTCTTTTAATCTAACAAATCTATGAATGCTGTTTTACAAATCTGCATATAGACAAAACATGGCCAGACAACATGCCCAGAATCACAGAGATATCACATCCTTCCTAAGAGAAGGTGAAAGAAGCTGACAATGGATGGATGGATAGATGGATGGATGAATGGATGGATGGATGGATAGATGGATGGATGGATGGATGAGATCTTTGGATAGATCTCAAAGAGTCTGGATGCAAAAGGAATCGAGAAACAAAGGGAAAAGTCATTTAAGTTTAGTCTAAATGTCTCCTGCTTTTTAAGTGCCTTGCTGGAAGGCTGAAAGCACTCCTCTAAACAGCAGAAACCTTGTACATATTGCCATGTGTTCCCCAAACCTTGTCATCACTCTCAAACTCTAATTCTGTAGTTATAAGATGTTTGAATTTTGTAGTGACATGTATTGTCCACAAGTATCATATCATGATCAATTTTTATTCTTCATGTGGCTAGCTGATTCCTTCAGACTAGAGGTTCACATTACTTAAAAGCATTGTGAGTGAGACCTACTCTCAACTGCTCCTCCCTAATTTGTGCAGCAGACCATGATCTCTGATTTGTACACAGGGAGAAACCATGGACATGAAGGTTCTCAGGATCTGTCCTATACCTTTAAGCCACCATCCAAACCAGGATTTCTTCTGCCTTCTCTTCATTCTCTGATTCAATGTAAATATGTTGCATTCCTACTCCACACCAGGCACCATATATACCAACTCCTGGGAATGTGAGACAGAATCCCTATCTCCAAGGTGCTCATAGCCTAGTGAGGCTCCAGTAACAGTAACAACAAGAGCTGTCCCAGCACCACACATGGAGATTAGTAGGAGTTCAGCATTTACACCCTACATCAGAAACCACAAGTATTTTGTTTGTTTGGTTGGTTGGTTTTGGTGGTATTGGGGTTTAAACTCAGGGCTTCACACTTGCTAGGCAGGTACTCTATTACTTGAGCCACTCCTCCAGTTCTTTTGGCTCTGGTTATTTTGGAGATAGGATTCCACTTTTTACCCAGGCCAGCCTGGATCACGATCTTCCTATTTTATACTTCCTACCATAGCTAAGATAACAGACATTTGCCATAATGCCTAGCAATTTTTCCATTAAGATGGGCTCTCAAAAACTTTTTTACCAGGGGTGGCCAAGTGATCCTTCCATCTTAGCCTTCTGCATAGTTTGAGATAACAGGCAAGTGTCACCAACCCACCTATATGTTGAGATAGGGTCTTATGAACTTTTTGCCTGGGCTGCCCTCTAATTTCAATCCTCCTCCATTTCAGCCTCCCAAGTAGTTAGGGTTATAGAAGTGAGCCATTGGTGCCCAGCTAAATCACAGGTTTATGCCCTACTTTGCTACTTATAAACCATGTGACCTCAGGAAGTTAGATAGCTTCTTTGTATGTCAGTTCCCTTACTTATAAAATGTGGATAAAAGTAGCTGTCTTAAAGTTGTTTCAGGAATTAAAAAAAATAATTTACTGGGCCTGGCACAGGGTAAATGCTTAATAAATGACAGCATTAAGGAGTCAGGTGGACACAGTAGCAGACAACAAAAAACTCAGTGAAGTACTGTTGGGTCTGTGCTACTAGGCGGAACACTTTAACTGAAAGGGAAAAGTTAAGTCACCAACTCCCAACACCCACGTAACAGGAAATTTCCAATGACCTTCTGTGCTAAAAGAGGTTCAAGGGCTCCCCTGATTTAATTCATATATAATGAATGTGAAAGAGCATTGTTTTGTCATTATTAGGCATTCCTAAATTAAGCTTCATTTTCAGTGCACTTAGGGTATAAAGAAAAGATTTTGTAATTGTCATCTACATTATGCTTATCTTCATAAGCAAAGATAGCCTATCACTGCTCTTGTTTGTTTCTTTGGTTTTGAGACAGCATCTCATTATGTAGGCTGGTCTGAAATTTGTGATCCTCCTGCATCCAACCTCTTGAGTGCTGGAATTAGGCAGAAGCCTTTACAGCTGGCTTATCTTTGTTCTTAAACGTGCATGGTCTTGTCCCAGCATTATTAATTTTTTTTGAGTTGAGGTCTTATTATGTTGCCCAGGCTGGCCTCAAACCTCCTGGGCTCAAGGTATCCTCTTGCCTCAGCCTCTGGAGTAACTATGACTATAGTGTGTGCTGAATCCGGTTTCACTATTGCCTGATGTCTAGTTTCTAGAAGATTAAAATGGAAGAGGAAAATTTTGAGTCTCTAATTAAACTGTCTGTCATACTAATTTCTGATTCTTATTATTCACATGTATGAACAGGAAGCAGAGAAACCACCCAAAGTGATATCTAAGGAAAGCCAGGATGTATTGTATTCATTTTGTATCTGACCATCTGAACTTGAATAACTGCTAAAATAAGGAGATGAAATGTTTGCCTTCCTAGAGGCTCAACTATTGGATTTTAAAGAAATCAGCAGTTTTTTTTTTTTTTTTTTTTTTCATTTTTCTTTTATTATTCATATGTGCATACAAGGCTTGGTTCATTTCTCCCCCCCTGCCCCCACCCCCTCCCTTACCACCCACTCCACCCCCTCCCGCTCCCCCCCTCAATACCCAGCAGAAACTATTTTGCCCTTATCTCTAATTTTGTTGTAGAGAGAGTATAAGCAATAATAGGAAGGAACAAGGGGTTTTGCTGGTTGAGATAAGGATAGCTATACAGGGCATTGACTCACATTGAAAGAAATCAGCAGTTTTAATTCAGCTTCCTCCTTTTTTTCCCCTCTCTACTTTTTACATATGTGACTATTGTTAAGGTGCTTTAGTTAAAAATATAAATAATCAGAATAATAGATGTAAAAGCCAACTAACACTTCTTTCCACCAATAAACAATAATTTGTGAGTTTGGTGATAATCACAGTTTTTCTTTTTTACCTTCAACTCCCAGAGCTACTCACCTAGGTAGGTATACCGCCTGTTCATGATTGCTTCATCATTCAGTTTAAAATAGGTATTGTCCGTGAGGTTCAGCACTTTGACCGTACCAGCCCAGTAAAATGACCCTGGGGCACCCATTACCACCAGCTCCTACCAAAAGAAATCCAAAGGTAAACAGGGAAACTGAAAAGGGAATTGGGGGATACATTCAGAACTAGTCACAACAAAGGATAGTCAGGATTAAGTTAAAAATACCTCACCAACAATTTTTTATTGTAATAATAAACATTTCACAAGATTCCCTGGCATTATGGAAGCTACCATACAGGTAGAATTATCAGGACTAAAGGTGAGAAAATAACTGAGCCAGGGGACAGAGTGATTAATACCTTAGGTCCCTATCCTATCCACAGATGATTCTACATGTATCCTCCCCTTCCTACCAAGATCAAACAAAAAAAGAAATGGCAAACAACTGACATTGCCCTAAGCCACAGAATTCCAGGGAACAATGCTCAGGAGAAGACAGCAATGCCTCCCCGAGCCTGGACTGCAGCCCCATTATCCAGCAACTCCAGCTGTCCAATGCATGAAAAGTAGAAAACAGTGACCAAAATCAGCTTTGCAAAAACACTAAAACCTTCAGGGAAATCCCTGGTTCATCTTCTCAGGAACCATTCTGAAGCCTGATGTTCTGGCCCACTGCAAATTCAAAATAAGTACAAGAGATTGGAGAGACCAACTAAGGTAAGAACCTAAAGTAGAAAGAGCCCAAAGGCAGCAAAAGACAGTAGTATATTAAAAAAACAAGCTCAATGCAAAAGGCACACTTTTCAGCATTTAGATTATGGGGAAAATGGTTCTGCATCCACAATGGGGTAAGAGCATGTTGGAACTACAAAATCATCTAATGACTAATAATGATCACAATCCTAAATTCTCCAAAAGGATAGTTACCTAAAGAAGAAGACAGGAATATCAACATGACTTTACCGACAAGAAGATGCATCAAAACTGTGTTTTTAAAAAGTTGGGAACAACCTGAACATCTAACAACAGAGATTCCAAATTAAGGTACATGAATTCAACAGAATTCTATGCTACATTAAAAATACCATAGAAGATAAAATAGTCACAAAGTACTGTTGAGTTAAAAAGGATATACCAAGCAATAAGTATGTCATTGATTTACTGATTATGTTTTATTAAAACATACAGATATGCATGTACAAACATGAAAAACAGGATAAGTTCCAAAACATTTATGTTTTCCCCCTTGGATGACAGGATTATGGTACTCCTTTCAGTCTTTCTGTCCCTCTCTCTTGTTCTAAGTTTATTTCCTTTGTAGTTTCCAAAATTCTAGAAAATACTGTTTTCTAAGAGCACTTTTCCAGGTAAAATTTAACACTGTCAACTCTTCTAACCGTATCAGGCTCCCCTCCCACTGCTGCCTGCAGGCTTAGGATACTCTCAGCTAATTCTGTCTTTCTCTGCTTTTAGTTTCTGTCCCTGCAACCCTTTCCTTTTATTCTTCTTCTTCCCCTCCCCATTCTCTTCCTCCTCTTTTTTTTTTTCTGCAGCACTAGGTATTGAACGCAGGACCTCATACATGGTAGGCAAGTGCTTTACCACTTGAGCTGTGCCCCAGCTCTATCCCTAAAATGCCTGCATACTTCCTCTACTCAAGGAGTTCTTTCTCAGTCTTCAAAAGCCCAGTTGCAGCATGGGCTGCAACTATAAATAAACTATAAACGGGAAAGAAGAGACATATTCTGAGTCCACTCATATGAGGTTGCAGAACCTGCAAAATGCGTCCATGGTGACAAAATTCAGATTAGTGGTTTCCTGTAATAAAGAGAGGCAGGATTGTCTGCAAAGAGGCATTAGGAACTTTCTAGGGTAATGGAAATGTTCTGATCTTGATTATATGGGGATAACATGGGTAGACACATTTGTCAAAACTCATGGAATGCTATTTAAAATTAGTTTGTTTTACTGTAGGTACTGAGGAAATGGACATGATTTTTTAAAATTCTAGAACAACAATTAAACACTGACAAGAAAGTCACCTCATAAAAATGCAAAATGTCCCTGTGAGATGACATTTTACAGGCACTGGAGTGCTGGCTGTGTTAAGAGTTAGGTAGGCCAGTCATCCACTGGATGTCTCCAGCTAAAGCTTTTGGTCCTTTCTATACAAAAGTGAATCCCTCCTTTTTCATTATTTATATTTTCTAAAGCATCTACACTACACTACCATAAACTTAACAAAAATTATTTGTCTAATGAAATCATTAAAGATATTTATTAAATACTTACTATTATGTATCTAGAGCTCATGGTAGATATAAAGTTTCTTTGTACAATATTATTGGGGTAAGGACATGGACATGTACAAGATATTTCAGAAGAAAATCTACCCAAAAGGGTTAAAATAAACAAAATTTCTAGATAAAAATTTTCTAGATAAAAACCCCACACCTATACACAAAACTTCAAAGATTAGGTATGTGAAGATGAAGGACACTGCACAGGTCACTCCTCTAGTGACTAAAATCACCCACCCTTCACGTGGCCTTTAGGATCCCCCCCGCCAAATACACACACTGGTATGTATGTCACAAAGAGATCTTTGAAGGCTGAGAAAAGCCACTGGTTTCTGACAAGTCCATGGAGGTAGAGCACCCAGAGATTCTGAGTTTCTAGTGACAATTCATAAAGTTGCTATAGGTTTCTTAGGGTGCAAGTATCTCTAGTAGTCAGAACTATCAAAAGAGAAAACCGGGGAGAAGAAGGTGGTGCCACAGGCAAGAGGACAATGCTTTGAACAACACATATTCTGTGGTCCATCAGAGAAAGAATCTTAACAAAGACTAGATGTGAGTGCAGATGGAAGGAAAGGGAAGTCACTGGATTCTGGCCTGAAAAGGTTTGCTTTCAAAGGTTTGCTTCCTGGAGTTAGGAGGGCTTGGACCAGGAGTGCTGATGAACACTTCATTTAATGTTCAGGGGTCCCAACTTCCTCAAAGGGAGCTGCTTCAGGTAAGACAGATACTCTGAGGGAACTCTTTGTTTTATAAGAATCAATCACTTTTTATACTCAGGACTTGTCACTGGAAAAATGCAGTGGTACACATGTGTATGTATGTTCATTCATTCATCCTCCTTACACCCACCTCTTTGGTACAAGGGCCTTCACTAGTTTTCAAAGTGTGTAAGAAAGACAAATCATCAATTCATCAGAGGAAAGAGATGTTTCCTGGCCTGGATCTTGGAAAGAAATTTGTAATCAGTGCCCAAATAGAAAGGACACCAAAGAACATGAATGACATATGCTGCACCAGTTGTGTATACAACACAGAACTATCTCCATTTGCATTTTTTATGAGTCAAAGGTCCAAGTATCAGCCCAGGCCTATAAAGGCTCTTCAAGACACCAGGTGGGGGACATGATACCCTCTGATGATTTGGATTAAACCAGGGTAAAAGGCATCCCTGTTCTTCCTCTCAAACATTGCAAAGTGGGTAAGACAAAGTAATCTTAAAACCCTTTAAGACAAATAGCTCTTCTTTTCTTTCCCTCTTAGCTTTCTCACCCTCTATCTCCCTTCAGTCCAAACTGAATAAATTGGAGTTAAGCCTGTGATCCTCAGGGCTGGGCTGGGTTCAAGTGGGGGAGCAGCTTCCTGGGAGCCCTTGAATTTGGCTTTTTTTTTTTTGTTCACTATGGATGCTGCTTGTGCCCTTTCTGATGCTGCTCACAGCTGTCAGGAAAATGTGATCAATGCTTAGATCTCTATTACTCAAGGAATAGCTGGTACCAATGTTACACACATAACCACAAGTTACTCCACAAGCAAATGCTAATACTGCCTAAATCACATCTGTGGAATCCCCTTAGTAAATAGTGTGGGCCTTTCCCCCAGAGGTACAGGGGCACTAGGGGTGGTGGTGAAAAGAGCCACAGGCTTCTCTGCCCACCACAAGTCGGCATGAGCAGGACAGAAGAATGTCCAGGATCTACAATAAAGTCTGTGCTGAGGAAACTTCCACCCAGATGTCTGCACAATGGGGATAGTTGACATCTTCTCTTGCTGCTTAGAAGTATCTATCACCTCTGTTATTCTAGTCTAAAAAAATAAATAAAGTTCTCTGGAAATACTCCCTTATCCTCAATGATAGGTTAAAACTCAAGTGGCATCTGTAACTCAGAGTTTGATAACCTCAGGGTCACTGACCTGAAGGTCAACCAGGCACCACAGGCCAGAGTATTTTGTGCCAACATGGCCATGTTCAGAAGGCTACAGAAGCCCATCCAGCTTGTAAAGTCGAGTTTGTCCTGTGTAGGGACAGATCAGTTCTCTATGAGGCAAGCCTAAGTGTTGTGAGGTCAGCAGGAGGGCAGAGGAGAGAAACAGTGCCTGCTTGACCCCGTCAACCACATTTCCTACTCAGCTGCAGACAGCTGAAGTTCCAGAAATGAGGGAGGCAGCGAGTTCAAAGACCTCCTGTTTGAGGCCAAAAGCCTGGGAACCAAAGCAGAGGCTAAGGCCCAGGCAGACCAAGAGACAGAGGGCTGGGATCAGAGGACAGGTCAGCAGCAGGAGGGGCTGCCTTCCCACTTCTCACGCCCACACTCCCTGCAGTGTGTACACTATGTCCTCCTTTTCCTACAGTGTGCACACTATGTCCCCACTTCTCCTTCAGTGTGTACACTATGTCTCCACTTCTCCTGTGGTCTGTGTATCACAAGCCTGGCCAGCACACACTTAGGCACTATGGTTCCCTCAGGCTCTGGATTCCACAACACGTCATTTCAACAGGTGCTCTCATTCCTCTACTCACCCCAGGCTTACACAACTACCTGGGCCTTTGTTCCTTCTCGCTTCTCCTTCCAAGATCTCCTTCTCCTCAGCCCCAATGTCCGTTTTCCTTGATTTACCAGCTTGTGGGATCACAAAGTCACCTTCCTCCCTAGAACTCTTGTTTTTCCTGAGTTCTCCATCAACACCTCAGTGAATTCTGGTTTCTGCAATAAACCAACCCTCTTCCACCATCTAAAGGGAGGAATCTCCCCTCAGCCTCATGTCGGTCACACTCATCCCCTCTGAGTTACTAGTACATGCCAAACCTAATTTCCTAGCTCAGATTGAGGTCTAATCCCTATGTTCTATTATATTTTAGAAGTGGGCTGGTGGAGTGGCTCAAGAAGTAGCATGCCTGCTTAGCAACTGTGAGGCCCTGAGATCAAACCCCAGTACCACCAAAAAAGAAAAAAAAAGAAGCAGCAGCTATATAGGTATCTCAGCACCATCTACTCCTGTTTGAACAGACACCATTCTACCCTTCCTTGGGGAGTAGCTTCCCTTGGTATTCTTTTCACCAAGAGTACTCCCATTTCTCCACAAAACCTGGCTCAAAACCTCTTTCCTCTACCCGACACTGCTCTGGCCACCCAGATATGGGCACCTTGTTTGAATTATCTGAGTTCACCCAATCATCTTTATTCCCAAAGTGTTACCCTAGCTTGCTCCATTGCTTCATAGTTGGACCACATCATGGCCTCCTGCCTGGCCTCCCTCAAGGCCTTCCTTGTCCACAGGATGGGGCACACGTGGCTCAAATAGCCTTTCTTACAGTACTGCCATTCATGTCAGCCACCTGCTCATGAAACTACAAATCTGGTGGGCCCATACTTTCTAGACTATATAATCCACATGCTTACTGACATGGAAGAAAATGGAGACAGCACATGGCAAGCTGGAACTAAAACAACAAACTATATATTTAGGGGAAAAATGTAGTTAGCTTCTACCATATAATGTATATGAAAATCAGTTCCAGAAGGATTATAGAAACAAATCTTCTTTAAAAATTATAAGAAAATACAGCTGAATATTTTCATATTCTTAGAGATGGGATGTCCTTCCTAAGTAAGAGAGATATCTAAAAAGAAAAAGACTATTTAATTTGTCCAAACATGAATGTTTATTGCCAGTATGATAACGATAACAAACATACTTAAAATACAAGTTAAAAACTGCTTAAAAATCTGCAACACATATGACAAGTAAGAAATTAGTGCTGAGATATGCAACAAGTTTCTATAAATCATTAAGATAACAGCAAAACCCAAATATGGGACCAAGAACATAAACAAGCAATTGCCAGAAAAATAAATACAAGTAGCCAATATTTGAAAAACATACTAAACTATACTAAGAGTCAGTAAGTGGACATTAAAATACTTATTTTTTATTAATAATAAAAATTTAAAATGTTAGTGAGAGAAAGTTTGGATAGAAATAACTGGCAGAGGAGTGTCAATTAGCAAACATTGTTGGAATGTAATTTTCCAGAATGTACAAAAGTTCAAATTTTGAAAACTTTGGACCCTACCACGCGTCTCTTCTCCAGACATGGGCACTGTGCACAAAGAGCTATGGGTATGGCTCTCTGGTACAATGCTGTAATGAGAGCATGCATGTTCTAGCAGAAACTCAGTTGCTATGGTTGGAGGCAGTGGGTTGAGGAAGCCTGGAAACAGATGAGGTTGGGAAGATAGGAGGGTCTGGGAGGATGTGTGAGGAAAGGCATCTGGATTTCATTATAAGCGGGTAGGAAGACACTGGATGGTTCTGAGCAAGACACACCATGGTATTTCTTTGTCTTTAGAAGATGTTCTGGGACTTGTCTGTTGGGAGGCAGGGTGGTAACGGATAAATGGAGGGCTCTAAAGTAGGTTGGAAGCAAGACAACTATGGCTGAGATTTGTGGGGTGGCAGATGACATGGGAAGAAAGTGTATCTTTGCAATACGTTTTAAGGGCACAAGAGGTGGGACTTGCTAAAGACAGATGGTAGGACAGGGAGATAAGAGAAGAATCTTTTTAAAGTTTTGGCCTTAATAACTAGAATGATTGGTGGTGCTGTTCACAGAACCTCGCATGGAACTCTGTGTACAGCAGACAGTCATAAAATGATATGGCTTGAAGGAGGTAATCAAAGTTACTGAAGGCAGGGGTTGGGAGGGAAGCATATCACATTTACTGGTTTGAGGGTAAAGGATAATAAGATTTCTAATTATTTTTATCTTTTCTTTCTTGTTTCTAGATTATATACTATATTGCCAACTGTTTTCTCTTTCAATTTAAATAGCAGTTTCTGAAATCAAGGCAGATAGTCTTGCTCTTGTTTCAGGAACAACACTGTTTAGAAAGCTATGGAAGCCAGAGCACACTGGGCATCTTTCCTCTTTCCTCAACGTCATGTGCCTTCCTCTGATTTACTACTATCCTGGAGTAAAGGCTGGAAAGAGAGAGGTGCCCTCAGAATGGAGTCTGTCTTAATCTTCCATGTAGTGGGAAGCCATGGAGTCAGAATGACAGGTTTGACTTTGAAAGATTCCTTGGGCTGGAGTTCAGAAAACACACAGTTCAGGTCAAGAATGAACACAGGTTGGAGTAAAGAAAAGGTTCTACAACTGGACAATGGTTATGGTTGCATAATACTGTAAATGCACTCAATGCCACTGATTTATAAATCCCCATTTCAAAATGGGGAGTTTCATGTTATGCCTATTTGACCACAGTAAAAAAATGGACTAAGGGAAATCAATTCAAAGTTCACTGCATCTCCAGGTAGTGATTGTGGCTTTTCTAGAAGCATGATGCTGATTATGAGGTGAGGTGGTAACAAAGAAAACCTATCATTTGGGATAGGTTTTGGAGGTTAAAGCAGCAAGATTTCAGATAAATTAGAAATGAAGTGCTTTTCATCTTTGACCTGAGTACTGAATGGCTGGTACTGCCACTTACAGAACCTAAGTGTTCTGTAAGTTTTTACAGAACCATGAGTTTTACACATGGCAGGCAGGCAGGCATGAGGAAATGTTTTAGAAAACTTACAACAGATGAGAATCACATGAGAAATCAATACCTAGAAAGTTCTAGTAGCCAAAGGTCCTTCTGCTGTTGCATGGGTACATTCAAGTGTAGGATCCTTCAGAATTCAGGGAAAGGAATGGCTAGCATTGAGTATAACTTGGAGTCTCTCAACTAAGGCGAGAGGGACACTGAGGTGACTCTCATACACCAGACAATCTTCAGTCAACAGTGAGGTACAACTTCACTGGATGCTGTCTCATCTGCACTCCTTCCACAGACCTCAGACCAAGCTGACTTCTATAGAAATCTCCAAATGAACCAGACCAACTCTGCTGCCCAGTGGTCTCTGGTCAGCTGGTAATCCCCATCAGATTTAAATAATCTTCCCTGATGTGAGAGCCAAAACCTATTCACTCATCTCCAGGTTTACCAAAATGATGAAAAGTAAAGAAATAAAACAGCAAGAAAGGAAGAGAAATGCTGGACTGATGACACCCACCTCAGTGAAGAAGCCTGCTATCCCAGCCTGGCAGGAGCCGTGTTCCTCTCCGTACTTCTTCTTATATTCTGGAGGGGAGGGAGGAAAGAGAAGAAGACCACAGCTATGTCAGTGTGTGCCAGCCATGTGTGGAGCCAGTCTCTTCCCCTAGTACCCCTGTGGGCTAGGCCCAGGGATGTTGTCCAGACTAGGCACAGAAGAAAAGTCTCAAGAATCCACTAGACCTCAAAAATCCAGGCTCTGGTGCCACCAGGCAGCAAGGCTGCCAAGTGCCCCAGAGGACTTCCTCCACACATGCGGGGAAAAGAAGAGCAGCAGCCACAGTAATTAAGTGGGAGGCTGGTAGCAATTATTACATTTAAGTTAGAAAAGACCAGTATCCCTGGTGGGTGCAAGTAGCTGAAAACATGACCCAGAGTGGAATAATGTGGACATACCAGTGTGGAGTCCCCTGGAAGAAGACCAGCCCTCCCAGAAAGACTCTCAATATGCCTCAAGGCAATCTGCTTTCTACCAAGCAGGAACCAGTTGTCTCCCCATGGGCTAAGGAGCCATACTGACCCAGCATGTGGTTACACTATCATTCATGTGTACAGTAATGAACTCCTATACCTCTGTCTTCCTTGGGTGGAAGGAAAAGGGGGAACTCTCTGTGCCAAATGAAAACTTTAATGGCTAAACACCCTACTCTACCACTCCCTTAGTTCCTGACATTCCTACCCAACAAATGGGGACATTCCTTTTCTGCTGTTTTATTTTTAAGTTGGCAAGGAAAATTGTTGTTCAACATGTTCCAGACTTTGTATTACTTGCCTCCATCACATCATTTCATTGATTGTCCCTGGAAACTCACCTTCCCATTTGTCAACAGGTAAGAATACCGAGGCTCAGAGAGGTTAAATGAATTGTCCAGGGTCACACAGCTAGTAAACTTACATTTTTTCACCTCTATGGCCTATCAAAGCTTTTGCAAAGTGAGTGATTTCACAAAACCAAGAGAAGTGACTGTTTAAAGTTGTTTCATGAGTAAAGACAAGGAGGTAGAGAGGGTTTCAGAGCGACTCAAATTAATCACATGTGACACTAACATTGCTGGACACCCTGAGGCTTGGGACTACCCTGCAAATAACCCCATGACCCCTGGGCCACCCCAGGGGCTCTTGGCAAGTCTCTAGTACCACTAAATTCAACATAATTATTCTTGAAACACAAAATAAATAAAAGAAAGGAACAATGAAGCTGTGATTGCAACACAGTGCCACTTCCTGCAGTTCAAAGTATCTACTCCAGGAGGGAAAAGAGCTCTGAAAGGGCCTTAGGGAAATTCAGTAATTTGTTTCTAGTAACACTCTCTGCAGAGCCCAGTAACATTTTTCAATAAGGGACCATTAGTCAACTACTAAATTACAACAGAATGTCCACTTCCAAAAGAGGGTAAAATCAGTATCTCCTGCCTGCCTTGTTATTATAAGGAAAACTCCCAAGTTGACCAATGTAAAACCTTGCACTACGGCTGGAGGTGGGAGACCTGTGCAAAGAAATAAACAAATCCTGCCTCAGATTGCATAATGGTAAGAAATGATATAAAGTAAAAATAAATCCTGCAGCAAATAGCACAAGGGCAAGAAAGATCAAAATGTCCAACTCAAATGTTAAGAATGAAAGCTTCAGGGTCTGTAAAATGCATCTCTACCCCACAGCACAGGGGTAAACTACCCAATTGTAACTCTTAAAAAAAAGAAACACAAAAGGAAATTCAGACCTGAAGAGGTGAATAAAACTATCTTGCCTGACCCACCAGTTCATAAATTTGGCATGAGTAGGAATTATATGGGAATCTTACATCTTTTAAAGTGAAAGTCTCTTTGGAACAGGGATTCCAAAAACAGAAGACATAGGAACTTCAATGCATTGCTCAATCTCCTCCCAAACCATGCTGGTGTTTTCCACCCTTGGGGCAGGACCTGGGGTTTCCGAGATGTCCACGGTATCATTGGAAGCTGGGGGTGCCCCACTCCTGGCCCAGACTACAGGGGAAGCCCTTACTAGCACCTCTTCCTCAGCCTAGAATGAGTTGTTCTGAGACAACTACTGCGTCTCCATGCCGGCTCTGCCCAAAGGAGCTCCACAGGCCCAGGACATAAATGGGAGAGCCCACTGGTTTGGAGGTTTCTGAAGCCCTAGATCTGAACTTGCCTTTTCTAGAGGCCCTAAAGTGAGTAATCAAACAATGTGCAGGACCTGAATAGAACCACTAACTTATGACTCTTGGTTAGAGGGTAGGCCATGTTCCAGTCTCTCAGAAACCTCTGTGATTCTGTCATTAATCCCCTCAATGAGGAACAAGATGCCATACTAATCCTTCCACCTGCTAACCCATCCTCACCACACACACTCCGTGGGGCAGAAGTGAGCTTGCCAACTCTATTCCAGGAAGTCTCAACCAGTTCTATTGGATTGACAGTTCCATATTTCAAACCTTTCTCAGCCTTCCAGATACTTCCACAGGTTCTGTTGAGATGACCTTGAAAGTAGATGTAAATGATACTCTCTATCGCAAAGTTGGTTTATTCATCACACTGTTGGTTCAATGCAAAGATAAATTTATTCATCTCAGTGTCCCCAGTACCAGCCTAGCACCACGTACCTAACTGTGATTGATGGTGGTGTGTTTCCTGACCATGTGTGCATATGTTGGTCCAGGCAGACCTAAGGCTGAGGTAGAAATATAAAGGGTCTAGGTATGGCCCTCCTGCCACCAATACCCTGAACTTCCCAATCTTCTTTCCCATGGACCTATATCCCCCTGCCCTTCCAGCTCTGCCCTTCCCTCCTCCAGTCTGTCAGACTGCCTGAATGAAGAGAACATGGGTGTTGGGTACTAGGAATCCTGGGTTCTAGTCCTAGTGCCACCCACTAACCCAGAAGCATGAAGACAGTGGAGGGTATGATAGAGGTGGGATATAGACCCATAGCATGGATTTTTCTAGGCTTTCCAAACTGAAGACTAGCTAAGTTCATCTCCTTGTGGATCTCAAGAGGAGGAGGACAGAACATCAAGATACAGTTCTCCAATCTCTGCTCACCCCTGGCATGATCCCTCACTGTAACTGAGACCTGACACTTGGTCACATATGGGACAGCCCACACTAACACCCAGTGGCTCTGAAGCCAGTGTGATTGTGTTCAGGTCCTCCCTCCTTATGGAAGGGCCTTTCTGCTGAGGAACTCTGTGAGAGCCTTCATGGAAACACTTCAGCACTGTCTCTATCAACTCCATGTTGACACTGGGATATGGCTGTGATGTTAGGCCAAGACTTGGACTGCAGGGGCCTTCCCAGACCCACCGGACATGGGCTCTGCAACTGTGATTTTTTTTACTCTTTTAATTGCTATTTCTGTGAGTTTGGGACACCACTATTATTTAAACCTGATTCTTAAAAAAAACAAAACAAAACAGTGCAGATTGTAGTTTCTCCCTAATCTACCTTCCAAATGTCTGTACTTATACCTGTGTCCTTCAAAAAGTAGATGTGGTTGGCTCTCATGTCTGTGGGTTCCCTATATAACTGTGGATTCTATATCTATCTGTGGGTTCTTCATCATCAGTGGATTCAACCAATCCCACATAGAAAATATTTGGGAAAAATTGTGTCTGTACTAAATGTATACAGACTTTTTCTTGTCATTATTCCCTAAACTATACAGTATAACAACTATTTACATAACATTTTATTTGGACTGGGCAATATAAATAATCTAGAGATTATTCAAAGTCTGTGGGAGGTTATCCATAAATACCACAATTTATATATGAGGACTGAGCATCCAAGAATTTTGATATTCAAGGAGGGTCCTGGAACCAATTCTTTGCAAATGCCATATCCTAAAATGCTTGATTAAAACAAAACACAAAAACTTTGATTCTCCTTGCCCAGACCTGAGAACAACAGGACAGTCTATGCTGAAAAGGTCTGGGAAGATTATGGGGAAGATGATGGGGAGAGAGGAGGTCTGTCCCACACCTAGTCACATACCCTGTCTCCACTGAGAAGTCTAGGAAGTTCAGTGTGGAGGGACCCAGGAGTGGGAGGCAGTGACCTCCAATCTGTGTTCCCAGGAAGAACTTTTCCTGCACGAACACAAGTGCTGTGGGGCCAGCAGCTACCTGCTCTTGGGCTGATCCACTCAGTCTCCAAATTTCGCCCAGGTCATAGCCCAGCAAAGAAAACTGAAACATGCTAGTCCCTCTCAACTACAGAAAAAAACACATATCCACCTCAAAGATGCAGGGTAGAACCAGGCTTGGCAAGACAGCAGTTCCCAGATACTGTAAGAAACCTGTTAAATCTGGGGAAAACAAATCTGGTAAACTGCTATGGAGCAAGGGAACCTAGAACGAGGTTGGAGACCTCTCTACCATGTATGGGTTTTATTAACTTGGCCTATATTACATATCTTAATTCATTAAATCATTTGGCTCCTTCACTCCAAAAATGGTAGCATTTTCCTTGGTTTAGTTGTTGGTTTTATTCAACTCTGCCTAAACAGAAGGCAATTCAAAGAAGAAAAAAAATACTTGCTTCCAAATGCTCACAGTTCACAACTCAACACGTGGAGCCTTCAAGAAACCCACTGAATTGGGTGGTGCTTCCTGCACCCATCCTAAAATGCTGGGGTACAACCACCAGAAAGACCATCATATACAATGTAACATATATTCTTCCCAATTATATCTCTTCCTATTACACAGTTGAGAAATTTTTCATCTTTTGAAGCCAGTCTTTAAAAACACTGATTCTAAAGAGTAGTAATGGGGGAGTGTTAATCTGATTAAAGCACTAGACATATCCATGTCTGAAATGCCAAGTCAAAACTCCCTTGGGTTCTCAATATACACTTTAAGAACTGAAGGACAGGAAGTAAACAGATTCTTTCCAAGGGTGGGTACCAGTGGGAGGAGGGAGGGCATAAGGAAAGAGTGAAGGAGGGCAAATATGGAATATGGTGAATGTACTTTGTATTCATGTATAACAATGAAACCTGTTGAAATTGTTCTAAGAAGGGG